GTCACGTCTTTACTATCAGTTCACTGAGGGACTTATGGCAATCAGATGTGGTTTGAATGACCTCCTAAAGACCGTTCTCTCGGTTAGCAATTCATGCACTTCCGATTGCCATCAAGAGAGAAGGAAAAGCTGTTTGGTGATTTTTTAGCAAGGAAATATATTTCACCAATAGACAACTCATAAACTTTTTATTTTGTGACGAATCTAAGTACACTGTTGTTGTTGTTCATTTAAATCGCACTAGATCTGCACAATGGGCTATTGGCGACGGTCGTGGAAGTATCCCTGAGGATGATGCGAAGACATGCCATCACAATTTTGATCCTCTGCAGAGAGGATGACATCCCCGCTTCGGTAGCCCGACGATCTGCACGTGAAGTCGAGCGCTTTACGGTAGAACAGTTTAGCGTGGACCAATACCGCACACCCTCAGTCCCTACGCAGACTGATCCAAGTGGTCACCCACCCGCACATTGACAGCAGCCAGTGATGCTCGACTTCAGTGATCTGCTGGGAACCGTGTCTTAACTATCAGTCCACTGCGGGACACACTGTTAACTAAGCTTAACACCTCAACGTAAAAAATTTCCTCATTGAAGCTTCATCTTTACTCTGAACATAAGCAAAAACTGATTTTAAAGCGCGTGAAGAGGATTTCTCTTTCTCAAACATGCCCAAAGCAGAGCTTTTTATGTAATTGGAGATCGAAATGAGCTATAGGGGGCGTAGAGCAGAGCTCTCTACCTATAGCAACACTTCGTATACTTTTTCCATTAGCCTGTGGAGACTCATAGGAAAAGAAAGTACGCTAGTTTCAGTCTTGATTTTCAAATTGATTAAAAAAAATTTAAGTTAGATAACTATATGGAACTAAAAACTACATTGAACATAGCTTTAAAAGAAAACGTTGCAGAAATTAAAAAAAAACATTTTGTCAATTAAATACAAAAAAATATTATGGAAGGGGAAAATGTAGTAAAACATTCCTATACAACTACGAAGAGAAGGAGAGGAAAGGGAGGATCGTCAATACATGGAACCGGTCTTCGTCCCAGGTGGCGTATTCGAGCGAAGCGATCTCGTTGTTGCTGTTGTAGTTCATTTACATCGCACTAGAGCTACACAATGGGCTATTGGCGACTGTCTGGGAAACATCCCTGAGGTTGATCCGAAGACATGCCATCACAATTTCGATCCTCTGCAGAGGGGATGGCACTCCCACTTCAGTAGCCCGACAACCTGCAAGTGAAGTCGAGCACTTTACTGTGGAAGAGTTAAACGAGGACCGATATCACACACCCTCAGTCCTTACACAGATTGATCCAAGTGGTCACCCACCCGCACACTGATGCTTGACTTCGGTGACCTGCTGGGAACCGTGTCTTAAGATCAATCCACTGCGGGACTGTTGCGAGCTCGAGTCGAACCGGTTGAACTACTTTCCAAACTTCGGAAATTTCTTCCATATGAGGCAAACATAAACTATGATAACGAAACAGTTAAAAAGCTCCTTCCCGTTTTAGTTGGCTTTTGTCTTTATTCTCCCCTGATGCCGATCGAGACAAGACCTTGGATATTAGAGTGGGGCTACTTTATCCTCCATGGTCAAAACTCACGATCGCAACTCTCGACTATTCCATCTGTCAAAAACACTGGTTCTATGTCTAGCTTCTTCCCTCTACTCCTCTGAAAAGTTTTAATGTTATAAAGAAAAGTCAATGATTTGTTATTTCAAAATATTTCAAGTTATATTGATAAGAATGGAGGGGTAGGTCTTAATCTGAACCATCACAAAGTTTCGGTATTTTAATCTGTATTAACAAAAACACACATTTCATTCTCAGAAACTAATTAATAATTTTAATTCTCATCTTATATCTAATAAATAATCTTAATTAGTCCAAATAAAAAAATCAGTATCAAAGTGATAAGATACAAATTTATTGCACAAAAATTGTCTCACCCTTTTCCTACTGTATGTTATTTTCTAACTAGAAATCATAAGATTTCTTATATAAATCATAATCTCTTATTCCCTTAATATAATAAATCCCCCGCGGGTCCTTAATATTTATTTTTAAAAATTTTTTTTTGACATTTGTCATTGTGTTTATTTTTTTTATCAATAACATATATGTGAGGTATTTTGCATTTAATGAGTTGCCTGAATAATCATTTAAAATGATTTAATATTTTTTCCCTTTGTTTACTATTGTGGTTTATAAACAATTTTTCTTGCGTGATGTTCCTGGTAAGGAGATTATTTTTTGATGATTTATTTCCAAATCAAATACTATTTTTCTTTTTCATATCTTCTTACGTGATGTGGGGCTTCTAACTTAATGAATCACTAAGTGCATTGCTAAAATTTTGCTTAGATTTTTTATATAGATTAAACGATAATTTTTTTTCGGAGATAATGCCATCGATTAATTTTTATCAACCATATATCAGACGCAATGCCTCTAAAAGTAAAAAGTTGTGCATTTAAAAGATTAAATAATCATTAAAATTTCATGTTTTAAACTAAGAAAATGTTTCTTGCTCGGGGACCTTTAGAAACCATGCCTAGGTAATCATCTATTAAATTAAAAAAAAAACATCCTCTAAATTCTTAGGAATAATAACGAGAGATTTTTTTTTTAATAATATGTTTTGCTCAGGGCCTTTTATGGGGTAGAGGTCAAAGCTTTTTATATATAGTTCGTTCATGTATATTGCTCTAGTGATCTAAAACTTTTTTATCTGAATCATTTTTCAAGGGCAGGAAGTAGTATCCCATTTAGTTAAGTAGTGTGATTCCTTTTTAAACTTAAAATGGTTGATAAGAGAAGAAAATGTTCACTTAATTTAGATATGGATTTAAATAAATGTACAACTACTTTTACACATTTGTTATATCATATCCATACTGTCATGCAAGCTTGGCCTTACTTTGTTGGACCTCTCGCAAGAGCCTCAGCTCTTTTAATAAACTGTTTAATATTTTTAAAGCTTGGAGTAAAAAAAGAAAAAATGGGGTATAGCAATAATTTGAAGTTTCGTTGGAGCTAAACTTTTAGCCCTAGAAACTGTCGAATTTAATCAAGAAGTTATTTGTGTACACTATGGTATTCCTGAAAAGTCTTAGATGCACAACTTCTTTGATAAATGATTTTTTAAAAAAAATTCAAGTCACCCAGTCTTACCTCACTCTAGATGCATATGTTAACTCTAGAAGAAATTTAAAAACACTAAAATTTCAGAGAAAAAATATTAGTAGACAAAAATTTTTTTCTTTTATAAGACACTTAAGAGTATTATGTTCAAAATTCACTCGCTAAGTAGTTCTCTTCTTCCTCCCTTTCCACTGAAGTTTTTGTGAGCTAAGCAAAAACACTTTTCTACACTTCTTTTTTGAGTTAGAAAACATATCATTGCAATATAAACAATCAACATCTTATGTTTTTTTATTATTTTCCTCGGAAGAATTAGAGTAATCAATCATGGACTTAAGTTTTTTTTTTTAATGAAACTGTTCTGTAACATGGGTTCTTGATACACTTCTCTTTTTGATTATTTCGTTTTGACATTCTTGATTTAATATTTTTTTATGTTCCAGTTTTCCAAGTGATATTCTAAATCAGTTTTATTATTTCAACATCTTTAAGATGCCGAGGATATCAAAATGATAATGATGAAAATTTTTTGAGTTCTTTATTGAAATATGCTTAAGGCTCACTTGTCTTTAGAATGAGTTCTTTAAAATTAGTGGATGAGTTTTACAGTAGATGAATATCCATTAAAAATGGATAAAGGATTGAAGATCATGAGCGTATGAAGTATCCAATAGTGATGAGAAAGACAATAAATTTTTTTTATAGTGTGTAATATCCACTAAGGATTCAATAAAATAAAAAGAATTTTAATTCATTATCACACATATGAGTCAAATTATGAATGCAGTGATAATACATTTATATTAGAATATAAAATGTTCACGTTTCATACTTTTTACTTCAGCATTTTACTCATTGTCAACACATATGGAAAAGTAAAGGAAGAAATAAATTGTTCATATCTAATTTGAAGTGCAAGGGATTAAAAATATAGTTACAGTTCACTTTGACAGTGCTGGCATTTTAATTAATTAACAACACTTGAGTAGCCATCTTTAATAATCGATTTCAGATATTACAAGAGCAGAACTAACATACAACAGTAAGCTCACAAAAGTGCTCCTCAAAAAATGCTCTTCTATGCATGCCCCTAAAAGTTTATATATCACAGCATTCTCGATAGTTCTCGGTTTGGAAGAATTAATGACTTGAAATTAAACAAAGTATTGGTTCCATCGGAGCACCGGATCATAGATATGATAGAAGCTATTTAAAGAAGTAAAAAGGACTGCTTAAATGAGTAGCTATTCTATGATAGGGGATCAGATGGCTCCTTGGAGTGGGATAAGGATACTTTAAGCATCAATATCAATGTGTCAAAAGCATTTATTGCTTTTTTGAAAGAAGGCTCGAATTATGCCAAGTATCAATTATTTAATTTTTGTAAACACTTTTTAATGTGGCTTGTTTTGTTTAATCTCATAATAAAAGAAAATTAGGAAATGAAACAAAAAATATTATTTTTAAAAAAAGTAATAGGTTCTAATTTCCCAATTATTGAAAGCAACCAAACGTAGAAGGAGTGGAGTTGAACCCCAACTCCCCTTTGCATACACCATTGAATATGGGACAAAATGAGGTTTGTCTACAATGCTGAATTGGTTAAATACTTATAACTAAATAAAATTTGCATATATATCCATACTTTAGATCTCTGAGGAACATGTAATGGCTTAAGAATCCAGGAAAGTAGGCAGGATGAAAAGAAAAAACACACACACACTTGAGGAGACTATTGAGTATAGCTTTATGGGTAACTGCTAGGTTCAAAATCTTATGTCTGCTGTGGATTCAGAGCAGCAAAAGTTTTTAACTACTTAGCAACGAAAGAAAATCGAGGAGTCAAGAGTTGCAAAAGTTTATTATATGATGTGTAAGTACACTTATAGTGTTTTACAGTTTCCAGTTTTGTATTGTTTCATAATGTTAGAAATGAATTCAAATCTTTCAACTCTGTTTAGGAGACGTTGGTGAGGGTTCTGAAAATAAAATGGAAAAGTTTAAATTACTATATCAAAATCTGCATTATAAGAGTAATAAAAAATAAAAGAAAGTAAATAACAAATAAAATAGCTGTCTATGTATGCCACTGTCACAATTCAATAGTTTTTCAATCACAAAAGGGACCAAAACACTGAAAAATAGGATGAAAATAGAAAAAAGGGAACAAATGTCTTTCACATTGTTCAATATCTCAGAAATATAGCGCCAACTTGGCATCTTTGTCTCAGCATCCTCGCCACCGTTTGTTGTAACCCTAATGAGTTGAAAATTAGTTGTTGATCTTATAGCATGAGCGTGCTCGTAGCACCAATCATAATAAAAATCTTTAATACAGTCCATTCTATTTTAATCATTTGTAAACAAACGAACCAGCGTAGAAATCAATCATTTCGTATCGAACACACATAATACTTCATTTTTGATGCAAAAATAGTATTCCTTATTTAATTAATATTTACAGACAGAACTTATAAAAATATATGAAATTGAGAAAAAAATTATAATGTGAATTTAATGGAACAGGTAATAAATTGATAACACACAAATTATCATTTTCTTATTTCTTTTAAAATTTAAAAATTAATTGAAAATGACAAAGCAGATACTTATAAAAAAAGAGATTCATTTAGTTAATAATATCTTAATTAAATATTTGTGTTAAAATTTATAATTAGGCTTAAGTCCTTTTTAATCCATTGATCAGTTTCAATAGTTTCAAATAAAGAAGACATAAAGTGAGTACAAGACTGAACGTTTTCCAATAAAATTAATTTTGTGAATAGTCTTCAGCTTTTCATAAAAAATGTCTGTGATTATTGAATAATCAATCAGGATAAATAAGGTTTAAATAAACCGAAACAGAAAAATCATTCTACTAAATTTCAAAATATATGATTTGATATCATCCCATAAAATTTGTTACTGAATTTACTGAAAATGATAAATAGATGAATGACCCATTAATTATTGCTGACTATTAACAGAATTACATATAAAATGTACATTATCTGAAAAAACAAACGATATGGCTACAAATAATTGTTGCAATTACATCAATTTATTGCTGCAATGATAAATCAATAAAATTGCTTTTCAGAATTGTAACAAATTATACTGATAAATTATCTGAATATAGAAAAAAATACAGATTTGAAACCACTTTCCTCAAATGCCTAGGCTGTGAGAAACTTGTATCAATACATTCTTTTTAATCTATAAATTCCTTTTTTTTATAAATTCTTTTTAAACTGACTCTGATCAATAATTTTTTTAACTGACTTTTTTCTATGAATTCTTTGTGTCTTTTTATTATTTTGAAGATATCTTAAAGCATGCGACTATTGTAGAGAAGTGTGTTTAAATTTAAAAATGTGGGGTTAATTTTCTTTTACACCTTAACCTTATTTTTGGGCATGGAGTAGAAGTATTAAGTTACTAAATAATACAAGTAAATTTTGATATTTTAATGAATTTAATATATATTTCTTTCTAAAATGAGCAACTTAAATATTACAAACTTTGCGCAGGTAGATAAAATGAGCAGGTACATTATAATTATAGAACAAACTGCCAAGGTGTTTTTAAATAGATTTTTCTTAAAATATAGCAGAAACTTTACCTGGTTCAATATATATTATCCTTTTGCCATTTTTAAAAGCATGCAAATATTTTATATGGCTGTGGAAAACTTTCAAATTCAAGTTTATTTTGTAATTTATACCTAATTATTAAATTGAATTTTTTAAAAAATGTTTAACTTAGTAGCCATTTATCAAGATGAAATAGAAAAATTATTTCAATATTTTCAGCCGAGGAAAAAAATTCTGGCCCAAATCTGCTATGAAGATATAATGCCCTGAAATTCATTGGCACATTTGACTCTACTGTTAGTGAGGGTTACCAGAAATTGGGCCATTGGAGAATGAATTAAAGATGCAATTTCAAGAGAGATGAGAGTGAAATAGAGGTTAGCCAAAATAAGTCAGAAAAAGAACGACTCCTAAAGAGGTAACACGGTAAAAATACCCAAATGATAATTGATTGACAGATGCTTTCATCATACAGTAAAAACAACAAATAATGTATAAAAAAAATTTAAGATTCAACTAAAAATTGATTTTGCTCAAGCTAATTGAAAAACACATTTTTTTTGTATTCATTCTAAATAAATGCAATAAAAAACTACATAGTAATATATTCAAAACTTTCTCAGATATTCTTGATTTTCCTGCTGAATAATCATCAGACGAATATTTCCTAAAGAGTTTTTTTTTTCTGTGGTGGCTTAAAAATTACTTAGCTTAGAATTTTTTTTTTGTTCTAATCGTTAGTAATTGAAAAACAAAACTCTAAATAATAAATGCATTTTCAACTGCAATGCATATAATAAATACAATTTCAACTGCAATGCATATAATAAATGCATTTTCAATTGTCTGAATAATTAGTACAAATTATTAAAATATAGTTCAAGAAAAAAGTAATAAAGCTTCGAAGAAATATAGTTAATTATTGATCGAAATTAGATAATAAGAAACGTGTTTGTTCCTTTGCCACAGTGATTGGCAATATTCATAGAATTATTTTAAATAGAACATATCTACACTTTAATACACATAAAGTGAATAATATTGCCGTTTACATGTTCAAAATTAATAAAAAATAATAGTTTAAGGCATTATACCTGAAGAAATCCAACTGCATAAGATGAAATTTTATGAGGTAAATGTAAAACCCAAACATCCGGAAGTACAACAAATGTGTAACTGTAAAATATAAAGAACATTTCAATTAGTTACAAAATTTTATCAGCAAGATAATAACTATTTATTGTAGGCTGTAAAAAACACTAACTATGCAACATAGAAGATACATAATTGTTTCATGTTAGTATTGTCTCTAGTTTCATTTGTAATGATTCCAACGATGAATGCTTTGTAGTCTAATTTAAAATGTTTCCATTTTAGAAAAAATGGAAATTATAATACGAAATCAAAATTAAGTCTGTAACTGAGACTTCAACTTTTTGTTTGAGATTTTTATTATTTGTTTTGTAGCTTCAGAGAAAATTTTAAGTTGCTAAAAAAAGTTACTAAATTTAAGCTACTAAAATTTTTTTTTTTTTGCATAATTTTAAGATATTCTTATGACGAAAAATTTAATAATGCATACTAAATAAGAATACAAACAAAATTTGATTCTTACATTTTTATAAATCAATTAGTAAATATGATGAAACAATTTAAAAACAGAAATTTTAAAGACTTAAGCAAACAGTTTTTAAACTATTCTAAATGATGAACTCAAGAACTAAAAACAAGTAAATTATGAGGAATGTAAAATAATTTATTGGGATGAAACAAAAACATATAATTTTATTGTTTGAAAGTAATATCAGAAATAAATGTAAGTGACAATACAATTAAATGTTTCTGCATTTTTACTAGTAAAACATTTAAAACACAAACATGTTTGAAGCAATGGTAGCAAAAAGAAGATGAAAAAAAAAATTTGTAAACATATTATTGGAAAGTTATTAACCAAAAAAATAGGTTTTATGAGATTAAAAACTTGTTCTAGAATTCAGGGATAAAATTTTTTACAATTTTTGAGTAACCCTTAAGCAGAATGTAATTGATTTAAATCCCTATAGACATATTGAAAACAATTGCTTAGCATCGTTTATTTTTATGAGGTAAAATAAATTTCAATTCAATAATTGGAGCAACTTAGTGAGCCTAACAAATTAAAAAGAAATACATTCAAAAGTATAAACACAACCCAAATGTTAAATAGTAAAAATTAACACAAAATAAAAAAGCATAAAGAGAATCTTACCAAATAAAATAAATGCATTAACGTTCAAAAATTCAAAGTTTATTTTCCACTTTATCTCCAGAATACAGTTATCAAAGAAAGAAAGTAAAAACTGGGGATTATTTCATCATCATAGCCAACAATGGTAAGAAAAAAGAATATGAGGAAAGTGGAATGAATGGGGAAAAAGAAAGGATATGTTCTCTTTGCTTATTTACGCTTTCTTATAGCAGAAGGTTAAGGATGTTTTGAAAGCAGATTTAGTACATTTTTTATATTTGTAATTTTTTAAAAATATGTTTTTTAAATAAACAGCAATAAGAAAATTTTAAACTCATTTTCATTACTATATTTCATTAACATAGCCTTTTTTCATAAATTATGGTAATAAAAATCATGAAAAGTTAAAATTTTGACTTTTCTGTACATTGGGTAATGTTTTCTGTGGTCAGTAGTAAGAGACAAAACTGACAAATTTTGACTTTTCTACACAGTTTTGAGTGGTGAGAGTCAATTGTTTAAGTTGTAGAACTCATTCATTGTTAAGAAGTATGATATAATACTGGAATTAATCACTAGAGAAACATTTGTTACAAAATTAATTTAATTACAATATGCGATTTGAGGTATCGGTAATGGATATAGAAAATGCAAAGTGATAAAAAATGTGCATTGAATGGAGATAGATTGAAGTGAATTTTTGAAGATGTGTTACAGTTTCCTCAAATATGGGATGTTCTTTTAAAATTATGGGTCACAAGTCTTTAATTTAAATATTTGTTTGATATCAATGTACAGTGTAACATCCCATATCCGGACGTCCCTTTCCTGGACACATTTTAGCAATCAAAATAAACAAACATCTCTCCAACTTCCTCTTTCCTTTAAAAAAAAAGTCTTTTGACACATTTTCTCTTTTTCTAGCTTGCACTACTGAACCTCTGATTTATGCATCGAACCCATAAATCACCAGAAAGGGGAAGTGAAGATCTACCAAGATCATTGAGTGACCGTTAGTGACGCTCCTCCCTTGGAATGTAGGAAAAAGAGGGAGATTTGTTTTCAAAAGACCGCAACTGAGTCCCCTCCTTTCCCATGCAGGTGGCTAGTAAAAGAGGAATTTCCTGGAACCTTTTTATTGAAAGAAGAAATACTGTGGAAAAGGGTAAAAGGGGCCAAGCGTTAACGTGGAGGGGGAGTCAAAATGGAAAATTTGAATAGGTCTAAAAGGATACACGTCCTTGAGAAACAAAACATTCGTTCTTCCCCATACCATGTAATATTTAGGAGGCGGGGGGGGGAAAGGGGGTAACATTCTTTCTTTAGCAGATTCTTTCAGTCATAGAAGAAAAAATAAGGAGAACCTGATCAGCGCACCCCGCCTTTACGCTTGATTGATAACCAATGAATGGAGAGAAAACAATAATTTGTTACTTCCCCACCCTCAACTTAAATGATCTCCTCTTTACACTTATTTTCTTTCACAAATAAGGAGGAAATTAATTTTTCTCCTCCACCTACCCACCTTAATGAATGACCGGAATTTCCCTTTCTTGCTTGAATCATTCTAGTTAAAAATGGCGGATTATTATTTCCATATGTCAATTTTTTTTCGTTTTCTATATTTTAAGCAATAATATTTTTTTTCTAATATTTCATATTTTATTGATTAGATATTCTAATACTAAAACATTATTCCCCTTAAAAATAATGTTTATTTATTTTTTGCTTCTTAGATTTAGATCATTTTAAGCTTTGTTCAAGAATGACATGAATTTCCCCTTCCTGCTTGAATCGTTCTAGTTCAAAATGGCGGATTAATACTTTCATAACTGTTAAATTTTTTTTGTTTTCCATATTTTCAGCAATAAATTTTTTTTTCTAATATTTTATATTTGATTGATTAGATATTCTAACGCTAAAACATTATTCCTCTTAAAAATAATGTTTATTTATTTTTTGCTTCTTAGATTCAGATCATTTATTAAATCATTTTAAGCTTTGTTTACCTTGGGGGTCTATTATACGGACTTCTTGAAGTCCCATCGATTCCGGATATGAGACTTTACACTGTATATGAACTCACTAAGGTCGAGTGTAACTTAAAATAGTGTGTGCCTGTGGGAGGGGGAGAATTATTTTTAAAAGAAATATTTAAATACATATCAAAAACAAATTTATAATAGTTATGAGGTATACAACAAATTTGCATACTTGGCAGCATAAAGTTCTGTTATATGTGTTACTTTATTCATTCCATAGCCAGAAAATCGTTCATCATAAAAAGGAATTGCATCAGTTTTCCTGAAATTAAAGGGATGGCTATTATCTCAAATGTTTAATGCTTCACATATTTTTTACTTAATTAGCAATATGTTCTTCAAAGAATTAAACAAATATAAAAAGTATTTAAAATTATTTTAATTTTTTAAAAAATCAAAACAAACTTTTTGAAGTTCAAAAATAGGTCAAATCCTATTTGGCATAAAACAATACAAGTAAAAGAAGTTTAAGAAGAAAATTTTATACAAAAGGTTAAATAATGAAAGAAAAGAAACTACATGACCTTCCCCCAGTCATTATCCGTTATCCATCCGTTATCCAGTCATAACCGTTGTTAATTCATCTGCACAAATTTTTCTTGAACACAAAACTTGCGAAAAGTAAAAAACTCAAAAATGAAAGAGAATTTCATCTAACTTCCTTCACTTTTGCTGGCAAACTTTAGTCACTTACATCTTTGATTCAAATCTCATTAATTCTGAAGATTACCTTCGTTAGATATAGTTTAAATTTTTGACTCCAGTTTTTTGTTGTCCTTTGGTCTTGGTAAACTTTAATTATTGAATCAGTAATTTGACTGTAGTTATTTAATGAAAAATTAAAATAACATTTATATATGAAACACATGAAATTTTAAATTAAAAACTGTTTTTCAAAATTAACTATTTAGCTGAGTTTAAAATAATAATTCAATTAATAAAACATATTCAATAATCAATAGAATAAAACATAAAATACCTTATTCGAATTTCTAATCTAAGATTAAAAACTAATTGTACACTCACTGTAAAATGACATAAGGCTCATATTTATCACAAAACATACTCAGTGAATACAATTTATCTGCTCTGTACCATTTCCAGTAATCTGTGTTTTTATGGGAATCACTGGATTCAGAAATTCCTGTTTTGATTTAAGGAAAGAAATTGTACAGATAACTTTTCCAAAGATAGAAAAATACTTCTAGTTAAGTCACAGTGTCTCCATAGCACTTAAATATTTGAAATTGGCGCCTAAGAGTTAATTTAGTATTTCCTACTTTATATGTATTACATAATTTTTTATGCTTGAAAAATGGATAATTCACAGACAAGTAGAATTTTTGTCTACTCTTGTGCATTTAGTAATACACAAGAGTAGTTCAAAAATATCTAGAAATATAAGTAAAAAAAACATTAAACCAAGTACATTAGTTTAATTAAAAATAATGATAATTTTTTTAAAAATAATGCTAATTTTTTTTAAAATAATGATAAATTTAAAAAAAAAATAAGTCACAGAAAGTTTGTAATGAGAAGGGTTCAAGTAATCTTAAGGAAAAACAAGCTAGAACTATCAGTGATTAACTTTAGAGGAACAAGTACCCAGTTATTTTATCTACAGAATAGGATTAAAATGTAGTTAAAATTTGTTTATAAACTAAAAAAAAATAACAAATATAAAGAAATATTTAACATATGAAGCCTGCTTAAACTCAAAATTAAACAAGTTGTCAGAAAATCTAATTTCTGTACCTCAAGAATATTTTTTTACAATAAAAATAATATTCAGAAAAATGCATTTATGTGTTCTAGAAGTATTTATTTTTAGTAAAGTTATGATTGCAAGTACAGACAAATACAATTGAATCCAGCATCATTAAAATTAATTGATGCTAAGAGAGTTTTAAATTCATCAAAATTTAAATTAAAAAGATCTAAAAAAGAACTGAATAAGAAAAACATTATTTAACACAAACAAAAGATATAATGAAATAAGAACAAACAAAAAATAATTTTGCAATTTATATTGGAATGAATAATTGAAGAGCTTTATAAGAACATGCAAAGTGGTACTTTATTGAACATCAGAAAATGAGATTTAATTTTTTTGTAAAAGATAGGAAAGTTGAACAAATAATAGCATATTTCATTAAAAGTCTCGTTTTCAAGACTAGGAAAAAAAGAAACTTACAGTTGTCCCTAACAAGTTTTTGAAGCTGGAAAATAGAATATTTTCAAGATATCAGTTAACATGTATTCAATAAAGCTCCACAATTGATAAAGTATAAAATAAAATACAAGGATACTAAATGGTGCTATGAAAGGATCTTCTCTATGCAGTAACTGCAAAAGCTCTTCTTTGGTTTGGGGAGCATTGTCTCCTCTCTAAAAATGAAATTACATTAGTAAATTGAAGTAATATTATTGGTGTTGAACAGTTTTTCTAAAATGATTCATTAGGTTACAAACAGCAAATATTTTTGTAATCACTGATTAAGTGTATCTCACTATTTTGGTTAGAGCCAAAATTTATTTGCCAAAGTAATTTTAAATTTATTTATATGAAACCTAGTCTCAAGTTAGGACATTGTAATTTAGAATTACTCATGAACACAGAAAATGGAAAATATGCACTGCTTACAGTAACAGAGTTTATTGCTTCCCATTTGTTCAACATTACATAATGTTTGAAGTAAGATTTTTTTTTCATTATTTGAGTGAAGAATATAATATTTCAATATTAAATTGGTAAACTGTAAATTGGACTGGAAAAATTTCCATTTATAAAACTTTACTTGAGGTATAATTGAGACGTTAACTGACCTGAGGTAGCTCCATATACTGAAATGCAGGTACTACAAAAGCTGTTTTTAGATTTAAGCTATGGCTTTTGATTGAAGCAGAGAACTTTTGTTGAAAATCAGGCGAAGGTTGAAAATCTGCATCCAAAAGAAACATAAATTTGCTTTTAACATTCCTAAAAAAAGAAAAAAAACGTGAATTAATTTTATTTTTAAAATTATTTATATTATGAATTAAAATTTAATCTTAGTGGTTGACAATTTCAATTGACTAAATAATTTTCTACTTTTCTCTTCATCTTGCAGTTAAAACATTACATTTAAATAAAATATTTATTATTAAAGCATAATTAGAGTTAGCAGAGAAATTCCTTTTGTTGAAACACAAATCTAAGTTATCTGAAAAATGAGTTTCTTGCATATTACATTTTAAAGACAAAATTTAACTTTTCATAGTACAGACAGCAGTGCAGCCAAACAATTTTCTGGGAGGGGAAGGAAGTTAAAATTGAAAGTTTTAATTTTTATAAATATTCAGTACAGCAATTTAAATAGGATAATTTTTAACTAAAATTATTTTCGAATATAATTATTGAATAACGTTTACAAATAAATAGTTATTGTGCAGCTAGTTTTAAATTTCTAAATATTTTATTAATTATGCAATAACAATAATTTAAAAAAAAATCATTGCCAAAAATATCCTCAATCAAGATTTTAACCCTTTTTGAGTAACTCGAGTATTAGTAACTCAACATATTTTAACTGGCATGTGTTTGATAACAATACTCATTTTATGATGGCAAAATTTATCACCAAAGGAGATTTACCATCATCAAATTTTCAACTACTTTCGGACTAGCTAGAGAGCCTGATGACACTATGAGTTTTAATAGTTTCCTGACTGCTACAAGTAAATTTTATTATCCTTTTATAGCTAAAAACAATTTATAATCAATTGAATATTCTATATTTTTCTGACTAGCTAGAGTATTTATGTCTCACCTGTTGACACTACAAACTGCAAATAGAATTTATCATCAACCAAAATTTGTCCATTTTCTGGGTAGCTAGATTGCTTAAATTTCAACTGGAGTCGGATGAAGATACTAATTACAAATGTTTTCTAAATATTCTAAGCAAAATTTATTTCTAGTCAAAGGTTCAACCACTTTCTAAGCATTACACAAACTAAGCGAAAAAAAATTTAAAATATAAACTCAAACCTCTCTTTATCTCTAACCCTTTTTTGGCTGCGCCAATGATAGCAAGTCATCCCTTTACCAGAAAATAAGCTTTAACTTAAATTTTCCAGCAATATATGAAATAGCTTGTTTTACTTAATGATAAAACAAATTTGATAGAATGTCAGATTGTTAAGAGTTAGATTTCCCAGAAATACCAATTAGCATAATAAAGAATAAGAAATATATTGATAGAAAGATTTTAAATTTTCTAAAAACACATTTTAAATGTGATTTTCCTACATAAAGAGTAAAGTTTTGCAACAACTTAGAATGTTTCTTAACTACTGTTGTGCAAAACATTGTTAAAGGGTTATTTATTACCAGTTTTTAAATGTTTCTTAACTATTGTTGTGCGAAACATTGTTAAGGGGTTATTTATTACCTGTTTTTAAAAATAATGCATGCTAGCATTAATACAAATACCTTAAAAATATTTTTAAACATTACATATTAAGAATTTCACACCGATCTAAAGATAATGCAGGTTGTGGTTTCAAGGATTAGAAGCTAATCAGTGCCATTAGGAGGGTTGATTGATGTCCAAGTAGCTAGATACATATCTGTGTATGAAGAGCTACACATCAATATTTGGCCTCGCTTCATGCAACCACTTTTACGCTGGGACAATAACTATCAATTAGTTAACACTTTGACTTCCAGTCACATGATCAGCTGTCTAAGTGTTAACTAGATGAGCAATACAGGCAACTTTTTTCTACAAATTGTTCAACATCCACAAAATATCTTAAGACTAGGGGTGTAACAATTGATGGAAGTTCCTTTATCTGTGCAATTCAAAAAGAAATAGGAAATTACATAAAACTATTAAGATAATTTTGAATGTGAAAGCTGAGATAAAAACAATCATTTCACAAAAAAAACAGCAAGTCATTTTCGAATACAGTCATTTCAAAAACCTCTGGTGGAAAATTTAATTAGGTAGATTTATAAAAAATTCTGATATAGATACTTAATTTACAGGATAGTATCTAGATTTTTTTATTTTGGCAAAATTACTGGTTATTTTTGAGTATACGATAATGATTAAAATCGATAACTTTACGAGAAAAAAAGGATTTAAATCAACTGTATTTAGAAAACTTTGAAAGTTCTAAATAAAACAAAGTAACCATAAGTAAGTTTCAATCATAAAAAAATTATTTCCTTGAATGCACTTTTTGTTTATTTCCAAAACAATATCTTTATATGTGAATCATTCAATTAAAATACAGAACTATTACTTCATTGCAATATTTCGAAGAGAATTAATAGGATAATCATTGGCCGAGTTTCCAAACACTAAAGAAACATGACTAGAAGTTGACAGCTTAATGTTTTTCAATTTTTTCTGTATATAGAGCCTGAAATATTCAAGAAAAAATATAAATAGCATATCAGATGAAAACACATACATAAATACAATTATTTGGCATAAGGAAGACATTAGATAAATTTAATTAAACGTCTAAATGCTTTTTCTAAACTTTAAGCCGTAGGCTTTCCTTCATCAAAAAACCAGCTATACCATGTTATTCAATGGGGAAAAATGTATGCAGCAGAGAATTTTCAAAACAATTTCGCACAGTAGCTCATCGCTTGGGGGAGGAGGTGGTGTTTGATACACCATTAATTTATTTAAAAGATTTCAGAATTTAATAAATATATTTCATGTGTGGTAAAAATATCTTTTGTGTACATAAATATGTTAATATCTTTTGTGTATATAAATATGTTTCAAGTATAAATTAAATTACAATGTAAACATTGTATTTTTGAAAGAAAGCAATGTTGTTTAAGTTTTAGAAACAGTTGCAAAATTTCAATTTACAATTTTAAAAAAATAAGTTTTATAAATGTAAAACAAGAGCATAACCCATGAGATAATAAAATCATACATGAACACTAAAATCTAAAATTCAATTTTCTAAATCAATGACACTTGATAGACCAAAAATAAAATCCACATCCTTTAACATGAAAATACAATAATAATTTGATTTAATAGAAAAAAGCACTTATCTCCAAAGTAATGACTTGATCCAGTCTTTATTAAATATTCGATGAACAATTCAATTTTAAAATAAAAGCAAAGGAAAAATTGTGAATCAAATAGTATATTAAACAGGGGTGAGAGTAGTAAAAAAGTAAAAAAGAGGAAATCCAATAAATATATAAATATATATCCCAAAATTTGACAAAAATGTGCGATTTTTAAACTTGTCAACCATGTGATATAATCCTGATGGTTAATTTCAAAATTGTATGAATATATGAATAAGAATGACAAGCATGATTTTAAATTGAGAGAATATGAAACTCTATATCGAATTTAAAAAAAATGCGAAAATATAAATCATGATGCGCAATTTTTAAATCGCGCGAATACGAATCCCAATTTCTAATTTTTAAAGCACGTATAAATAAGAAAATCGATGTTTGATATTACAACCGCGAAAACGAAACATGACATTGGATTATAAGCTCGAGTGAATACGAATCGCTACATAGAGTTTTAAAAGCGCGTAAATACAAATCGCGATATTGGATTTTTAAATCTCGCAAATAAGAATCGCAATGCACAATATTTAAATCGCCTGAATAAGAATCACAACGTTCAACTTTTAAATCAGATGAATACGAAAATAGATGTTTGATAATAAAATCGCGATTTTAAAAATGCATAAATACAAAACGCGATATTGGATTTTTAAATCTCGTAAATAGGAATCAAAATGTACGATATTTAAATAGCGTAAATAAGAATCACAACGAGCAACTTTTAAATCAGGTAAGTACAAAAATAGGTGATTGATATTAAAATCTCGTGAATAAGAATCGAGATATTCGCAGAGTCTGGACTTGGGATTTCTAAGAAGCTTGTTTGTATTACTTTTGTTTAGACATAATAAATAAAAATTTACAAGATTAATTGAATGAGCAAATAAATATTTTTGCAGCAAATCCACTTCTATTTTTTTTTGTTTGCTTTCACACCAAAAAACAGGAAACAGCGACGTCTGAATTACGAAAATACAAGCTATTCAGCGGATGGATAAAAATACGGAAAATCTTATTTTCTGTGCTTAAAATCGGAGAAAGTAGCTAAAACAAGTAAAAAGGTGGAAGGGTTAGCAGCTAGAATGTAGTTTTATTTTTCTGCTTATCTTTGAAAATCGTAAATAAATATAATTATTTTATTTCAATGACTGAATTTTCACAAACAAAGCGGGATATTTATAAAAAAAAACTTTTAGAGAATAGGAGTTTCTGATAAAACGGCTGAAATTCGAGAGACAAAAGTGGAAATTTGCTAAAAAGTAGAAAATCTCATAAAGGTCAACCAGTTTTATCCCAAGGAAATGATTTTTAGAGAAACTTCAAAGGGAGGAATGAGGATTTCAATACTTTCGTTCTGTGAAAAATTAAATTCCTCATAAAATATTTTAACTTGTGCAACAAAAAATTGCCGCGGAAATTAGCGGAAAAATCTGAAAAAAAAAAAGCGGAAATCGGTGAAAGAATCACATCCCTGATTAAAATGATGCACTGAAATAAAATAAAAATTCTTTTTATTGAATTGCGAGAGCACCTTTACAACAAGTGTTCTTGAGACACTATTTAAATGGAAGAACCCCTTCCCAAAATGCTAACAAGGAAGAGTTTACTCCTATTCATGTCCCTAAAAGTTGAACATATCACAACTTTACAATCCTAGAAATTCTGTATGAATCTCCATTTGGGACAGTTTATAACTTGAAATTAGATAAAGAAATGGCTTCATCAAAATTCTGATAGAGTAGCAATTATTTACTTTAGTAAACCCTTTTTCTTATGCAATTTATGTTTTTTTTTCTTCTTAATCGCAAATTGTTTTTTTTATGCAGAAAATTTCAATTTATAAAAAATAAAACGAAAATAATTTTTTCCCAAAATAAGGGGCTAAAACTTCCCAAATATTGAAAAGAATTAGACCCTCAAAAGGTGGGAGGAGGTTGATTCCTACCTTAGTGTATGCCACTGTTCACAAGTGACTGGTAATGTGGATTGTGAAAATAGTTATTATCAATGTAGACATACAAATTGTCTCCAAACAAATATGCACTGAAATAAATAAACAATAAATACTAACCGAGGTGTGGAACTAAAATGGATAATAATACACAAAAGGCAGTAGCAAAATTTTTGCACGCATTCATTTCTTAGAAAATTCACAAGTAAGTATCTCAAATAGACACATTTGCTTTCCTTGTTTGCAAAGAAGCGAGTTTCACTTTCACAATTTTTGTGTGTGGGGAATTTTATTGGGTAGAACGCCCTCTTATCCAATGAAAATAACGCAATATGACTCAGTCTAGAAGAATAGGAGAAGAAACTGTTTAAAAGAGGGATGTTATACCCCACCTCCTCAGCTTGTAATTTCTACTGGAAGGAGGAATCAATCAGTTATTTTAAAAGGGGTTGGGGAAAAGAAAAGGGGATACTTCCTTATCTATTCTAGCTAGGATTTCTAGCTTGTGATCCTTTTTTAAGTCGAGGGTGGATACAAGAAACATACCCTTCAAATTGGTCTCCATATGCAGTGTTTCTATTGTTATTTTGTTCACTTATTTAGAGCAGACCACCGCCGAAAGTAGCCAAAAATTGGTGATTGTTTGGCCGTATATCACCATATGAACTAATACTTTGTTGACTTTGTAATAAAATTTTTTTCTCAAAAAATGATTTTGTCGTAAATAATTTTTCTTGATAAATTTTTTTGCCACCAAAAATTATTTTGTCACAAGTGTCGCTGCATCGGAAGAGCCACAGGTAGGAATTTGTTTTTTTCGATAGCGCTGCTGTGATTTCACCGAAAAATATGGTAAATTTTTCTGAAATATGGAATCCTTGACACAGTTGAGGATTGTTGTTACCCTAAATAAGGTTATAAAAAATCTTCATTTGAGTAGTCAATTACATCCTTATATCAAATTATCTTATTCTTAGACCACATAAATGATTAATGTTATAATATTTAGAAGTGTTTATAATTTTTATGAGGACTTGAATATGAAGAAGACTACCTACCTTTGCCATTCATACTCCGATTTATCTGCATGTTTACTCATTATATATATAACCAAAGAAACTGGACCATTCCATAACTGTAAACTACGTTCCAAAGCAGACAATCTATCCATAGAGACTTGTGTAACAAGAGTAATTAAATTATAATGATCCTTAATGCTGAAAATTAGATTTAGGTCATTTATAACTAAACATAAAAAAAAGTAAAATCATGAAATGGAAAATTAAAAAGAATCATTTACTACTACAAATAGCTAAATTTAAGAAATAAAAAAAATTATTTATCACTTTCGAACTACAATAACAAAAACATGCCATTCGTACAACCATCGATGAAAAAAATTAAAAATAATGTAATGTAAATTTAGTCAATAAAATAATATCAGTTTAATACAGGAATAAACAATTAAAAATTAATATTTTTAATTAAGTTTAATAGCTGTGACTACTATTACTATTATAAAAGTTTTAAAATTTAAAAATATCATATTTGAAGATCAATGCGGAAGAACAGTTTATGTCCAAGAAAGCTAAATCTGAGAAAAAACTAATTTCGGGGTTTGAGAATTTTGGGAGAAAGAATAAAATTGAAATTGTAAAAATAAAAATATATAGAAACGTCACAAGTATTTATTTACATTCACTAAAATTTTCAAAGCAAACTTATAAATTTTGATGCTGAAAAAAAAAAATTGGAAAATTGGGTAGAAAAAAAATTGTTTTTTTCCAATCCAATTTTCGAATTGAATCAATACTTCCTCACTAGTATTCCCATTGTCCTCTTCACCATATTTTTCTTTGTTCCTTTTTAGGCCTCATCGTTCTGATGAGGTACATTAAAAAAAAAAGAGGTTTTCATAAAATTCTCTTAAATCAGATTACCCTAAAAAGTTTTTAGGAACTGTAAATCCGGATTTTGAACAGCCTTAATGGGGAAACTAGTGTCACAAAGTTTTCTTTTGGGGATGGTTTTCCTTTAATTATTAAGGCTAGTAGCTTATTAATATTGTTTTTCACTTCTTTATGCCCCCTCCTCCCTGATGGCTTGATAGATAAAGCAGTAAGTTTCTTTTTAGTTTTCTTGGAATATGTAGTAGATATGCAGTGGTTTGGATAAGAACCATTCTTCTCCAAACATACAGACAGTAACTGTTTTTCTTCAGCATGGCTTACCTTAACTGCATAATAACACTCATAAGAAGAGTAGACTGTTTTGTCAAAACTTTGTAGTCCTTAAAATGCAACAGATAGCAATACAATAGTCATTTTTGTGAAATAAGGGCATAAACTATTTTTCCCTTTTGATCTTCATTTATTTGTCATTAAAAACTTACTTAATCAGACATAAAATCAATAAAAACAAATGTGCAGTCAATCATGATGTTATCCATAATATAAATATATATACAGGGTGATTCAGTAAGGCAATTATAAACATATAGGAGCAACACAGTACATGATTGGATATTACCTTGAAATGCTTGGTCAAAAATCTTTTCTGGAATGGTGTCTAAGACACACAACTCATGTATTGTGGCAATTGCTACAATGCATGCAATAAGTTCTCAGCACTGCTAATGGGGTTTTTGTACACCCTCCCGAAAGATCTTTAAGTACCCTTCAGAAAAATAAATCATGACAAGTAAGGTCTAGCAAATAAAAAGGACAAGGCACCTCACTATCTTCCTGATCCACTATTGGCCATAAAACCCATTCAGGTGGAGACACCTGTTACAGCTGTAATGTGCAGTTGCCCCATCATGCAGAAATCATAAGGTAAAATGGATCATGGTAGATAAACATGCTACAAATATACAAATGCTCTCTCATGATAGAATAGTACTCAAGGACTTTTTAGAATAATACACATGTTATTCATGCCAGTTCTTTCGTAAGTTTTGTTTTATCTCTACCACACTTGGAAAATGTTTCCAACTATGCATTGATAAGTGATTTCTTATCGTCTAGGTATACTCTAGTACTGTATCTCTCCTGAAAGCTGATTCATACTTTATATATTTTTACATATAAATATTTATAATGTTAATAAGAGTTTAAGAAATAAATAATAAGTTTTTACCTTTCGTCATTAGGAATGAAGATATCTTCTTGTTTGCCAATAGATAATGGATGTTTTGGAGGAGAAGAGTTAATTGAGCAAGGATTTGATAATATTGTAGCTGAGTTATATGATGCAACTATTAAGAGAATATAATACATAAAAGATAAGTGATTTAATTGCCTAAAATATAGTAAAATTTCATTTATATGCAGGTATAAGAACATCTTGAGTATATTAACTTTTAATAAGACACAAAGCCTATTTCTCACATGATACCTTCTCACATGATGATATTGAAAAAGTCAATAATTTAACAGTTGTGTATATGTCAGTTAATAAATCTGAATCCCATTTCCCAACAGTGTCATTTGCTTCCTCAGGAAGATTTTCAAAAAAATTAAATTTTATCAAATAAAGTTTATATTTATGCTAGTTATTGTATTATATTAGGGGACAGCCCCATTACATCTTCACTCATTAATGCCCTTAACAGCTAAAATTATTATTATTATTTTTTACGAAAAACAGAATTTTGCCTATAAATTAAATTATTCCAATGAAAGGTCCCAAAATTTTTTATTGTATTAAAACTTTGGTTTCACTGATTTAGTTCCTGATTCTATTGGGATAAAATTTAAACACCAATGTAATTTTATGTGATTTTCTTTTTAAAATTCATGTTTAATTTTTGGTAAGCTTTGGAATAAAAACTTTTCAAATGTTTTTTAGAAGTAATAATGCGTTAAGTTAATTTCGAATAATGTTAATGCTTTTTTGTATTTATTATTTGAATTGTATATCTTGACTGGACTTAGTTTTGCACAAGGCTTAAAATAAATGTAAATATAATTTAAAGAATTACAAACAAATTATAACAAAGACTTGCTGCTTTTACTTTTGAGCCTTGAATTTAAAGTAATAATAAAAAAAACATAGAAATATTAAGACAAGAATATTAAGTATGATAAATGAATATTACAATAAAAAAAGTTTTAAATTAGGATATAGAAATATTTGGCAGTTAAAAACTTTATAATTTTTACTTATTTTATGCTGATGACAACCAAAGAAACTCTGTCTTTATATGAGAAAAATTGGATCATACCATGTGATTTATCTGTCAAATGAGAATAAATGGACTAGTCATCATCTATGCATATATATACACTAATTAATATACTTATTTGTACTAATATTTAATAAACAAATACAGATGATAGATCAAATATATAACTAAATTTAAACCTAAAAATTATCAAGTAAAAAATATCTGATGCCAACCTCATTTATGAGATGTCCTCCCCCTCTCTCTAAGAGAAATTCTGACTATAGCCCTGATTTAAGGAAATGTTGGAAATTGCTTTAAAGGTTGTGTGTTATACATTGTTGCACTAAGGTGCAGATGAACTTTTAAAACTTAGACTTAGAGAAGAATCCATGCCCAATGATGTATGAAGATATAGTTTCATTGTGTACAGGTAAGAGATGGGAAAATAACTGTTTTACACCAGTATTATCTGAAAAAGCAAGCTTATCTGGCAGCTTTTTCTCGCTCCTTGGAGAGAGAGGGTGTTTTTGTCACTGCTGAGCTTTTCTTCGAAATCTGAATAGTTTTATTAGACAGCAAACATTTCTCTGGCATAAGATGTTATGATCCTATTTTATATCAAAATGAACCCAATTGGGCAATGTCTTGTAAAAGACTATAAACTCTAAGTTTAAGTTTATAGATATGCCCAATTACAGGTGAATCAATAGTTTGGTCATTGTGGCTAATTATCTTCAATTGATAATGTTTATTTGTTAAACATGCTTCATACTTAAGAATAATGAATGCATAGATAATTGGCAAATGATTATTTATTTTTCTTTTATTAAATATTTGTTTATTAACTTGAATATTTTGCACATTAAGATTTTAATTACATTAGTTTAGTAAATTCTAATTTTAGTTCAAATCATAGCAATTTACTGAATACTGTGTTAATATTGTTGTTTCAGCAAAATATGGATGCCTGAATTTTCCCCTCCTTCGAGGTGAGTTTTAACCACTATCTTGTATCTATTGAGGAGGTCAAAAGGAAGGAGAATTTAAACATTAACATTCCAACGTATTATTTTATGCCAAAACACCAATGGCATCCAAATTAACTTGATTGGACTATTAGCTTAGAAAGCATAAGTGATTTAGTAAACATGAAATATAAAGTATGATTTTGAATTATATACCTTTATGTGTTTGAAACTTTTATCTAGACAAATGAGGTATTATTTTTTATGTACAGTAATTTCCGGTAAATAGGCCGCACCCGCAAAAAACATCGTTAAAAATTTCAATTTTCATCTTATAGGCCGCACCGTCGTAAAGGCCGCACTTTCGTTTTTTCGATCGATCATCGATTTTNCGCATCGGCGTACAGGCCGCGCATCGTGACAGCCCAACTTTTAAACACGTATAGGCCGCGGCCTATTTACCGGAAATTACTGTATTTTTTTAAACTCTGAATCCAATGAAATCAAAATTAAATTGATAGGACTAGTAATTTAAAAGTTATTACAGTTTAAATGTATTTGTATTTTATATAAGTATGGCACATAGCTATGTAGACAAAAAAAGTATTTAACTCCATGCATTTTTCTATGCTTAACTGAATCAGATTAAACTGAAGGAAATAGAATAAATAGTAGACTATTCCAATAAGTAAATAAAAAAATTGAAATGATTATGCATACCAGCTCATACTGTGTCAAATGATATTCTAAAGTAAAAGTTAAAGTAATGTCACACCAGCAAATGATGTAGTGTGGGTATCTCAATCCTGAGTGGTTGTTGAAACATGGCATTTGTTAGCAATTAGCAATGGTTCTTTCCATTCTATTTCCAGTAAGCCAAACTTGTCAAGTATCAATTCTCATAAGTGAGTTTAACTTTCTAAGTTTTGCATCTAAGTTTATTTTTTAACACATTTTTTTATTATATAAACATTATGCAATGACTATGAAATCTTTTTTTTATTTTTGTTATGTATTTCTAAAATAATAAAGAAATATAAGCAATATTTAGCAATACAGTAATGATCCAAATATCTGGAATCTAGGGGACAGATATTCTACCAGGTGCCGACTTTGCTTTTTTCTGCATCTCTAGATAATAGTAAGTATATTAGTTATCTATAAGAGAGATTTTTTAATTAAATAATAATTTTGAAAAAAAGTTGAGAGACGAAACATTTTCTAATGTTTATTTAACTAAAAGAAATTGACTTGTAATTTCTAGGAAATCTAATGTTAATGTATGAGTTTGGAAAAATAATGCTATTTCGAAACATCATATATTGTGAACATTTGATAAACTATTTCTGTCCCCAAATATTATTTATTCATTTATCAGTATGATTTTATCCTTTTTCTGATTTTTATGAACTAAATATGATTTGAATGTGAAATATGATTAATTGAAAAAGAAAATGAAGCTTCTTAATCAAAAATACCAACTGCAAGCATTAAGTGTGGTAACTGTTTAATAGTGTTTTTTGTTCTTTTATGTTGTACATTATTTAGTACTTAACCAGAATATAGCTTAATATTAATATTAGATGATTCTTTTGGGAGGGGGTACTGAACATCAACTAGATCTGCTAAGTGCAAGAAATAAGCATATTAGTTAAGTGATTATGCAATCTTAAACCATCATTTACTGTACCCACTTTATAGTCCTTTCAGTTCTGTAATACTGTTTATCCATCAATACTTCAGCATTCCAGAATACGATTTTATCCTTTCATGACTTTTGTGAAGTTAAATATCACTCAGTAATGGAATGTGAACTAAAAATTAAACTATTTGTTGTCCTCCACCTACTAAGAGTGAGAAAGGATTAGGGTTAAGGAACTGTAAACATGGCAAATGATTTTAATTTACAATTCACTCACGATGATGAGCTATGCCAATTGAATTTTCATATAGCGGAATATCATTGAAATATGGTTGGGTTCCACGACAAAGAAAGCTTCAAGTAACTCCAAAGAGTAAAATATTTCATAAATAATTATACTAATAATTATTAATTAGCATTAATACTAATCTGCAATATTTCATAATATGCTTGAAATTCTTAGATGACTAAAATACAGTACAGCTATATAAGTATCTGAATTAAATAAAAAATATGGAATAAATAATTTATTATTAAGCATATAGCTGATATACCTGTTGAGTTGTCACTTAATATTCTTCAAATAGATAAAAATTTTGAAAGAAATTTATTTAGTTCAAATGTCACAATAACAGGGTATGCAATTTTTACGCTAAAGGCAATAAAATCAAAATTAAAATGATAGAGCTAATAGTTTTGAAGTTATAAGGGTTTTATTCGTAAAAAGGTATGAGTCAAAAATTATAATTTTAATACATGATACTTTCATAACTTCTTACCCATTAAACTTATTGATTTGGTTTTGGTCTTCGTCCCATTCAATTTAGCATAAAACAATACATAGAATGCAATACTATGTACTGTTTTATGCTGAAAAAGTATAAAAAAAGGACAAAAAAAAGTATTAAAAAAAGTGTACTTTTTATATCTAAAAACTTTTATCACATTTGAACTATTCAGCGTATCAACTACATTTTGAAATTCAATTTAACCTTAAAAAATATAGAGGAAATAATACTTCACTTGTCTTGATAAGAATTTCTGAAGCTTAAATAGGTATAAATAAAAAATTTCTACTTTTTTTTTAGTCTGATTTCTTACCAAATTTCTTATAACTCAAGAGCCATTAATCTGATGGACTTGGTTTGTAGTAATTAGATTCAGCGTAAAAAAAAACAACAAAAAACAAAGAAAAATACCTTGTTTGCCTAAACAGTACTCTTTAATTCCCCCCCTGTTGGATCTTTTCTGCTTCTTAGTAAATTCAAGATGGTAGCAAAAGCTCACCTCAGGGGAAGGGACAAACTTTAGATTTCCATATTGATTTAAAACTACAATTAAAACAATTTCAAGATTTTTCAAAATTATTTCTTATTTATAAGTCTTTATTTTTTTTTAGATACAGAAACTGGCCTCGTAGCTAATAATACAAATAAATTTCTAAAGAAAACCATTGAATTTTCTCTAAAGAAAAAAGAATAAAAATTGCACAGTTAAACAATAATGATAACTTAGTATCACAATGTAAAATTCTGAAATATAATATTAGTAACAGTTCTTACCACGAGGAATAAGAATAGGATTAGTGAAATGAATACTCCCAGAATACCCATAACACATCAGCATGACTGTAACACTGTGTATTGATGATGTGCCAGCCGAAAAACTAGTAGTTTTAGAAGTTAGAGGCTCAATATTTGAAGAAAACTGTAATCTGTAAATTTTCTTAATCAGTTAATAAAAAATAATAAAATTATCTTTTGAAAGAAATTTACGGAAAATAAAGTATTAATGATAAATGTAAATTTAATCTCTTGTATTAAACTATATACAGCTTAGCACTATTTGAAATACAAATCACAACTACAGAAATTTATTTAATCTAACTCACAGTACAAGAATAACTTTATCACCTTATATAAGTTAGATAAAAAAAAAAACAATATGTGCAATGTATTCAAGTTTATTGAAGAAAAGGAAAAAAGCAGAATCAACTTGAGATGAATTTAGTATTCTTATTAAAATGAGAATAATTATTAAAAAGGGCTTCCATGGGAATACCAACAAGGTTCGATTAAGATTTACTAGATAGTAAGAAACATAATTGTCAAACTGATAATTTAAATACATGTTTCTCTAATGTACAGTTATTAAAATTTTCTTAAAATAAGTATGCACTAAATGGTGCTTGTACATTAGCCATTGGCCCAATATCAGAATTTTCTGAGCCAATCTGCAGTACCATCTTTGTCTGCAATCCAAATGGAATCAAGTAGGGACTAATATTGTAAAAATTGGACTTATCTGAACTTATAGTAAAATTTGAATTTGCAAATAGTAGATAAAAATTAAATACAAGAAATGTATGTTTAAATTTCATTAGGAACTTACATATTAATGCATAAAAGAACAATTCAATAAAACCATAGTCAAAGCATGTAAATAACAATGTAAATAACTAAAGAGAAAATAATTAATATTAAGTTCAAGTTTTATATAAATAATGTCTTTAAGATATATCACTACATATATTTTCTTTCCACTATTGGAAAAATTTGGCTTACCCAATATACATACAATATTTGCACTAAAACATAGGATAGATAAAAAAAATCTTTACAGAAATTTATGCCTTTTTAAATTTCATTGAAACTTACACCCTTAAAAAGAAAAATGAAAAAATCGATACTTAAAGCTTCTAAATATCAGATCCCTAAAGATAAAGTTAAATCATGATATCAAACCAGATTATCAAAGTATTTCAGATTCAAAACTGGAAGTAGCATTTTAAAATTTAGTTAAACAATTTAACTTTCAAAAAATAATTAAAAAATTTTCCTCTCACTTTTTTAAATATGTTTTCACCTCTTATGAATATATTTTAGTGAATACAATTTCACCAGAAGTCATAATAAAAACTTTTTCTAAAAACTCAAGTTTTAGTAACTATTTTATAGAAGCACTACATGCAGACTGCATCTGCCGGATGAATTGTTTTAGGTCAATTTCTTTTGTCTAATTTCAAAAAGGGGGGAAGTTGATTTTTTACCATTTATCAATGAGAATAGAAAAGAAAAACCTTTATTTTTCCACTTGAACTCTATTTTATTCACCACTTTTTTTTTACTTTAAAAAAGAAAACAAAAGCGGACATTTTCTTTCTAGCATTTTATTATTATTTAATTGTTTTACATCTCAGATAAAAATTATCTGTAGATGGTGAGATAATCTGCAGCATTCACAGCCCTGCAGAATAGTTTCTGCTACTGCGGCGATCGGAATTTTTAGTGCCACTGAAATATTTTATATGTATATGAATAACTAAGCATATGCAAGGAAACAATATTCTAAGTAAAATTTAATAAATGTATTTTTAACTCTAGAACGCAATCTTAATTTCTTTTGAAATTGTGTAAATAATAATAATCTATAGTGCTTTTCTTTAAGAAAAAGCAGTTTATTATTCTGAATTTATATATATACTTACAATATGTTCTTTTGGATTTAACATTAAGCGTATATCAATAAATATGTTTTAAATGATATTATTTTGTTTTTAAATTTGAATGATGTATAAAATAGTCATACATAAATTTGCTCAAATATTTCAATGCTTAAAGAAGTAATAATTTCAATTCTTCTAAGCTAGCTCAATTTAATATCCTTATTTACTTTATAGTCTTAATTTTAGAAAAAAAAAATGAATGACTATGGATATTTTTGCTACAATTATTATAAAATTGAATGCGATAAAATCTATATTAAATGAAAAGCTGAAGAAGAAAATATATTTTAGAACAAGGCTGCAGACACAGTAGAAGCCTGAATAATTGCTAAAAAAAATAATAAATAAAAGTCTAATTTTTAGAGGAAATAAAAATCTCAAATAAAGATTAAAAAATAAATATCTTTTACCAACATAAAAATGGGTAGGGCAGCTACAACTAGGTGTCTACAAAAATGCTAAGCTTCTAAGAGTTAAGAACAATATTTAGTGTGACATGGATGGCCATTGGAAGAGGTGAAAGTTCGTTTTTAAAACGTATTTCACAATTTAAATTTTTGAGAAATATGTAAGAATCATACATTTAAATAAAATGATATATTTTAAATAGAATTATATATTTAAATATTGACATCAAATGTGATAATCAAGCATACACAGTGACTCAAATTTTCACTCTAACAAAAGCATTTCAAGAATTTTTTTATATATATTATTTCATACATAAAATAAGAATATAATTCAAAAAATACAAAAATTGCATTGGAATAGTAGGAATGAATTAGATTTAACACAGTACCTTAAAGTGGACTCGAAATCATATCTTTAATGCTTATACTAGTTGCAAAAATATTTACTAAATTATTTATTTTCTATAGTAATGTAATAATGATTCAATTTTAAATTTAATAAGGTTCAAGATAAATCAATAAAATGCTTTGGATGTATCATACAAATTAAAACTTTTTAAAAAGTAAATTTTTTTACAACTTTAAAATGTTCATTGAGGAAAAATTAAATAGAATTTTTAATTAATTTATTTAAAAAAAAAATTAAATATAAGCTTAGACTATAAGAAAAACGCTGCATAATTTAAGAAAATTTTTTTAATATAAAAAACAGTTGTTAGTCAATTAAAATATAAGTTAAGTCAACAAGAATATTTTTGAAAAATCCACTAAAGTAAAAAAATTCTAACACTTACGCTGATTCAAAAAAATGTTTGAACAACCTAATTAAATTACACTTACTGCATATTTTCCATTCTACCATCCTTTAATTTAACTAAAGCTAATGCACCAAAAGAAGCTCCAATAACCTAAAGGGGAAAAAATATCTTAAACCATTCCAAACATGCTCACAGCAATTTAAAGTAAAATGTAAATAAAAAGTTGAGCATAAAGAAGAAGATTTCTTAATTACTGAGTAACATCAATTTACCCAACTGTTTGAGGTAAGTAATACTTCAGCATTTTTTTAATCATAGATATTTTAAATCAATAAGTAAAACTGGCTTCAAAAGTTTAATGCTAAATCATAAACTAAATTATAAGTAGAAGCGTTCTTAAAAATTTTAATTTCAATAAAAAAATTACTTTGCTTTCAAATGCAAATCTAAAATGTCATAAAGCAATAATTATAATTGACTCAAATTCAGAAATAAATTATTTTAAATTTTAGCCAGATTTTATGTAGTGAGACACACTCCAAAAAATAGATATAAAAACATTCAGTTTTAATATATATATATATANGTAGAGATATATATATATATACATACATATATATATATATATATATATATATAAACGAATTTTATAAATATAAAATAATTTGTTTTGAATAATTTAATTTATTTATGCTTTTAATACAAAAGACAACTGATTGGTATAAAAAGCATATTTCAGATTAGTCTTCAAGTACATAAGTAAAAATTATCTATAACTATTAACCTTTAATTAGCTGAATGTATGGTTTATGTATTATGCTATAAAATATTTTATAACACAGAAAAAATATAAAAAGTTTAATTCTAAAAAAAATATCTAGTTAAAAATACTGATAGCTTTTCTTAGTAGAATTAAGAACTCATAAGCCGTATTAAAATAATTTAGCTTTATGAAAAAATAATTGAGTATATAATGAGTTTAAAGACCGACAAGCACAAAAGCAAATTTAAAGGTAAAACCTATTGCACTACATAAAAACTGGGTAAAAAAATTACAGATGGATGACAAAAAAATACAAGCACTTCAATTCTAACTCTATATAAACAATTGTTCTTTTAACAGTAAATGTTTTGTAAGATTCTACATGACAAACCTGTAGGGACAATTTGAAAGATCATGCTTAAAGCTTTTAGAAATGGTATCCTTCTAACCCAATGGAAAATTCAAAGCTTCGTTCCTTTTTCATTACCACTATAATTCTAAAAACATTCCTATACAAATATCACAATCCTATAAAATGATTTCAAGATTGCTGGTATTAAAGTTAGAAAAAAGTTATTAACTTCTCCTCATTTTGGTCGGTGCAAATTTTGTATGGGTGTAAATAATACCTTTTCTAAAAGCTTCGCATGATCTTTCAAATTGTGCCAACAGTTTTGCCCTGTAAAGTCATCTAAAACATTTGCCATTAAAAGTAAGATTGCTTATAAAGCATCAGTAAAGAAGTGTTCACAATTTTATAGCTTATCTGTAAGTGTAAAAAACTATATCTGATGCAAAAATAAAAGTGAGAAGGAAATAAGAAAATGAACAAGAAAGAAGGGAAGTTTATAGGACTTAGGTTTACGTAAGGAAGATAAACTCTTTGAGAAGAAATATTAAAATAACAAAGATTATTGCATAATATCAAGGCAATGGAAAATCAAAGAAATAAATAAAAAGGAAAGATATAAATTATGTTTTCTTTAAAAAAGAGTATATAAACAAATCAGTTATTTCTGATTTGCTTCAAATCAAATCAGTTGTATTTGATATGTTTCTTCAAAAAGAATAGAACATAAGATTTGAGTTCCAAATAAAACTTCCTTCTTAAAAAAGGTACACACAGTAGAAAGTCCCAAATCCAGACATCCATTTACTGTAAATGTCTATTTTCACGAACAAATCTCTTTTCTTTTTTTATAATTGTAATTTGTCCAAAAAAGTACTAGTAAAAAATTTTGTTTTCCATTTCTTCTTCCTGCTTTCTTGGTAGCTAATCATTTATTCTGCTTTAATAATCACATTAAAAGAGTTGACAAGTCAAGAGCAGTTAAAGAAAAACCAACTTTGTGGAAAAGAATAACCATGAAATTAAAGCCCAATATTTATCATGTTTAAAAAGAACACCAGCAAATAAGCTTTGTTTCCATTTAAATTATAATTTTTTTACTGTAAAAATTTACTCAATTCTATTCATTGTTTTATTTATTTATTAAATTGGATTAATTTACTTTTGAAACTTGAGGCTTGTTTTTTTAATGTTATTATTATTTTGATTATCTATGCTGCTAATTCTTCACATCAAATAGAAAAAAAAATGTGTCTTTATCATGAAAGTTCAAATTACTGCCTCCTCTCCTCACTTTTATTAATACTTTTATAGATATTTTATCATACTAAACATTCTTTAGTTGATTAAAGGTCATTAAATCAGCAAGAAAATGTTGTTGTATGAAGTCGATACTAATTATTGCCTTTTTGTTATTCTTTAAATTGAAGAATGCATATTTGGAGGGTTGTTATCTTAAAGACCTATTATCTAGAAAAATTTATTTTATGGACCTGGCAAAGTCCCGACTAATTCAGACATGGGATTTTCCAATGTCGAGGTAATAAATAAAAATATTTTACAAAAGGAAACTGTATAAAAGGTATACATCTGATTCTGGTGTGAAATAATAATATTACATTTATATTTAATAATATTATACAGATAGATGAAGCCACCTTAGAAACTAATTGCAGATAGAGTGTAACTAAATCCACTTGGTGCTAACTAACATTATAATATACCTTAATATTGATGATCACTAATTTTACAGATAAATGTAATGTTAATCAAAATAGTTGAGACAAAAATAAAAACAATTAACAAACATCATTGAACACAGGTCTTAAGAAAGTATAGAAATTTTTTGAATAAAAATATAAGAAGCATCAGTTAATGTATTATATTTTAAAATGCAACAAATAACTCAAGATGGTGTCAGTAATATAAGAATTTTCAGAATTAAAGATTAACACAAGCAAGAAATATGGATAGATTGATACGAAAAATGCAATATGCTTTAACATAATTGGATCAATAAATTAATAAATTGTACACACAGCAAAACAAATTACACAAAATAAAAAAAAAACATGAGCAAGAAACAGAAATTTATCTTGAACATCAGAGCTTTTTAACACCATATCAAAAGCACAAATCTGAACATTACTAAAATGGTAGATTTGTGATTTTGCTGTGGTGCATTTAAATTAATTCAACCATTTTGTATAGTTGGAATATAATAAAAAATGAATAAAATTGAAAATATTCAAAAAATATTTTTCCTTAGGAAAGGAAAGTATCACTCCTTGTAATGTATTCCATTGAAAATTCTTCTTTTCCTAGCACTTAGACAAATCTTTAGCATAGTATGTAAGTAGAAAACTTTATAAAAAGTTTTAATGTCAACATCTTATAAGATAGAATGCGCATATACATAAAATATACACTCAAACACTTTCAAAATAATTTTATTCATAAAAAATAGAACAAAGAAAGATAGAAAAATAATGCAAAGCACACATCTTTTTCTTTCATGCACATTGTCATCAGATCAGTGCTAGTAGGAACGTTTGTATTTTCACCCACAATGACATAAATTAATGAAATCAAATTAAAATGTTGTGAATTAAAAAAACAACTTAAATTGATTATTTTCAAATGATTACATTTCACAACTTTTGAAAAAACTTTGGGCAAGTCAATGATACATTTCCACAGAAAAAGTTTACATATTAATACTTGCACAAACAAATAAATTTTCACATTAATTACTGACAATTTTCATAAACTGCTTTTTGTATTTTAAGTTAATGTAGTAAAAACATGAAACTTATGATGTTCAGAGATAAGAAAAGTATTCTATTTTAGGAACAAGGTTAACACGGCGGATTGGATTACATGTAAAGCTTGATGAAAAAGAGTCAGATGTCAAACCAAGCTCAAGATAAAATGCTTAAAATAATGCAAAAATTTTAATGCAGTAGCTTGGAAGACAAATAAAATTAACTTTCACACAACCCTACCAATTTTGCTAATATAACTTAAAAATTAAATGCATAATTCTGAATGTTTTTTAACTAAATTTAGGTTTGTTTCTCATAACACATTAATATATACTTGCCTGTGGCTCTAACTGATCAGCAGTAGCAGTGATGGAAAATTCAAGCTTATTGATTTCAATATGCTGATTGAACACAATATACTGATATATTGCACGAGTGCCATCAGCTTTACAGGAGCTGCTAAACCCCTAAAAAATACATAAATCTTAATTAAAATAAAAGCATTTATTACATTTCATCTAATAGCTCACAATTAAAATAATGGAAAAATTTTCAAACTCTGGATCAATTACTAAAGCAAGTTTGTTTAAGCTTTTAACCCACTGACAGTTCTGCACGTAAAAAGATTTTAACCTGAAGTCTTCTCTGCATAGCAAAACCGTTTTTTCCATGTTATTAAATGAGTAAATAATGTATTGAGGAGAAACATTCTCCTAATTTTGTCCATTTGCTGAACCATCAGTGGGTTAAACATAGATAGATGCATAATCAATATTAAATTAATTAAAATTTGGAAGAGATTATAATTTCAGAATTAAAAAAAAAGTACAGAATATTTAAATATCTTTCTTATTAAATTTTTTTAAAAATATAACATTATCATATTTTGAAACAAAAGAATTATTAACAGACAAATTTATGACATGATTTTTAAATAAGTGAACTTGTTAAACATTTGTGTTATCCAGAACAATAAAAAAGTTTTATCAGTCAACCTGATTGTTTACCTTTAGGTTATTTATCTCCACATATAAAAGAAATTTCACACAAACTTTTAACAAAGTATATAACAACAGATAATATTTCGCTGAATTTCTGGGATTCACAGCATTATGTTGAGAGAATTGGTATCTCAGATTTTTCCTCCCAATTGTTAGCTTTAGAGTATCTGTTTATATAAGGAAAAGAAAATTGTTTTTTTTCCCCTGTAGCTTATTTCAGTTTGACTTTAGCTATAAAACAAAAGCAATAATAAGAGAAGGAGTGCAGAAGTTTCTTGGATTAACTCATCTGATTTCATAGTTCATTCCTAAAGGGATTAACTAACTTAGCATTATATATTCTTTGAAAAAACAGTAGCTTTAAGGGGAATTTTTTTTAATGGTTTCTAAAAGGTTTAGATTATACAGAAAAATAGAGGTATAATAAAAAATATATTCATTTGAGAGATTGAATCAACAAAAAATTAATTTTATACATGAGATACAGAAAAATTGTTTTAAAAACGATAAACATAAAACTTTTCAGTCTTTAATTTAAGAGCTTAATAGAATAGATATTTCACTTTACTTAAGAGATATTTCAGTGAATTTAGGAATATCAGCTTGAAAACTATAACATCAGTAGAAGGCTATTCATATTAGAAACAATTTTATTTATTGAGCTGTCATAAAAAATGAAACTTTATGCTTTCTATTAGGTTCTTTCTCTATTAGAGATCTTCTATTAGTTCTTAGTAATGATCTTTTGTTGAATAAAATGAATACCTGACATGTGAAAATTTTCATTGGCTCATAATAAGTTCAGGTCATGTTGAACAACATGAGCTAAGTTATTATAGTTAAAATTAAGCCTCAAGCTCTTAATTTTCAGACTAGAGTTCATAAATATAAGGCACAAACTTACTCTAGAGCATAACTTCCATCTTTGGTATGAGCATCTTATATCAGTATCCCATCTAGCATGATCCATCCACCAGCCAGTAAGAGATAACTCATCACTAGATATAATTTTACTAGAAAGCAGATTAAGACTGGAATGTATGTTCCATAAAATCAAATCTTTTTTAGATACAGTGTCATCTTGCTTTTTCCTGAGGAGAATAGAAAAATAAATGTAAATTTATAACAAAAAAAGTTATATTAAACATTTAAATTAAAAAACAAGGAAACCTTCAGTATAGCAAGGATTAATTTATGTAATTTCTCTAAACGAAACATGTAACAGAAATATCTAGTATCCTTATAGCTTTTTACTACATTTTTTTAATAATATATTTAATTATAAAATTTATGAAAACATTTTTAATGTAGGTCAAATTTTTTTAATTTATTTAAAGCAGTTTCAATAATAAAATCAAGATCAACATAACATGAAAAAAAAATTTACAAAAATTAACATGGAATAAACAGAAACTTTTAGATAATATTCTTAAAGGAAAAGTTTAGTAATAATTTGGAATATATAAAGCATCAAAGTTATTTATAATTATATTTAAATTTAATTCAAACAAACATTATCAATATGAAGCATTATTGCATTTTGTAAGCAATATTCATCTACAGAAATTCAGTTACAATCTTTTATTACAATTTTGAGAAAACTGAATTTTTGTTCAGTGCACACAAGGCTATCGATAACAGCTTACACTGTTTAAAAATTCATCCATATCAAGAAATCTAAGCTTGAATGAAAAAGCTGCATTTTTTAAAATTCTTGATAGTGGTAATATCATGAGAATAAGTGGTCCCACAGTGGCTGATCATAAGACGAGGTTCAGTAGATCGCTGAAGTCAAGCATCACTGGCAGTAGTCAGTGAGTGAATGGGTAACCACTTTGATAAACTTGCAAAAGGACCGAGAGTGTGTGGTAGTAGTTTTAGTAAAATTGTTCTACTGTAAAGTGGTAGACTTCATGCACAGGTTGTCAGCATACCAAAGCGAAGGTGCCACTCCCCTGGTGAGGATCGAAATTGTGATATTATGTCTTTGAATCACTCTAAAAGATGCTTCAGACCATTGTAAACAGCCCATTATGCAGCTATACATAAATAAAGTGTAACTACATAAGAATAATTTCAGCTTTAATTGTTCCATATTCCCACGATTCTCGCAAATAATAAACTCTTTTAATAAGAGAAAGTTAGAAATTCACAGAATGTCTATTAAGCATAGTCTCAGTCAAATAAAAAAGTATAGTGTTGATCCCTGAAACATCATTGTGTGCTTTCATAAATGGAAGTACTAAAAATTAATTAGCATAATTTTTAAAAATCTAGCATAATTTATATACAATAAAAATATTGTATGGAAGGCTCCTAAAGTAAACTTCAAATTATTTGAAACAGGACATCTACCTAACAAATTTGCTTGTACCACAAATGGAAATGAAATCTGAGAGGTAAGAGTATTTTTGGTTGAGGTCACTCAAGTGTTTCAAAGCATTGTGCTTTGCTACAATTTCATGAGTAATTTTTTTTAATAAAAAGATTTGGATTGATTTTTTTAATAAAAGAATTGGATAAAGAAAATTTTCTCTTAGTTTTCAAAAACTATTTCCAAATTAAGTTTTTTTACTCCTGTTAGTTGATATAACTGAAAAATTTATTTTGATAATAAAACAGAAGACACGAGCATAAATAACAAATAAATTTAAACCAGATAAATTAATTATAATGTTATTACTTAGCTTTTAAAATTCTAATGTTATGGGAACTCCATTCTGATATTAGCTGCACAAAAGGAAGAAAAAACAAAATCTTAGATTTACCATGGTTTCTTTTCTTCTGAGAAGAACCACGACAGATGTATATAAATAATTAAAATAGATGCAAAAGAATGGAATAAAATAATGCATAGTATGATCTGAAAAGTGCTCGTCTGGTGTAAAGTTCTACTCAATTTCGAAAACGACGGCATTGTTTTCATAGTTGCTTTTTTCATTCTAAAACGAAAAGCTCAATCATTTTGTAGACTGTATAAAACAAATGTTATTTATTCGACATCTAATTGCGAATTTTACATTTTTGTGAGCTTTTTGAACTCCCGCCTTTAAACCAAAACCTGCTTTTAATACCAAAACTACAACAAACAACATAAAGAATTGATAGTTGATAATTTAGAATAAATGTTCTTTCTTTTTGCTTTACCCAACTATCTTTTAAAATAGAGAATTTTTTTTTATTGATTGCGATCAAAATCATAGATGGCGCACAATACTCAAAACGTACAGTAACTCTGTACTTTCTTGTCAATATTATTTTGTTAATGTATTAGGAATAATTATGTTTATTATCCAACGAATAATTTTTCGATTAATTTTAATATAATTCGTTTTGCCCCACGTGATTTATTTGAAAATGAATCCATGTAAAATTGGCAATCAAAGTAGGCTACAGGTGGTGTGGAGCAGTACTCTCTACCTATGGCAACACCTCGTATGATTTCACCATTGGTGCGTGGAGAGTCATACGAGAAGGAAGTACGTTAGTTCCTGTCTTGATTTTCAAATAAATTAACTTTTAAGTTGGGAAACTAGATTGAACTGAAAACTACATTGAACATAGTTTTAAAAGAAAGCGTCATAAAAATTTAAAAAAAAGTTTTTTCTTTTCTTGACAGCTAAATATTAAAAATATTAAGAAAGGGGAAAGTACATTCCTATACAACCTAGATGAGAAGAGGGTAAAATCAAGACATGGAACCGGTCTTCTCCCCAGATTGCGCATTCGAGCTTTGCGATCGCGAATAGAAACATTAAAAAAATTAATATTGACTAAAACAGGTTACTGGATGCATTTTGCTTGTAATGCAATATAATATGGTGAAATATACGTTGTAACCACCTTTTTCACCCTTATAAAAGGTAAAAAAGGTGGCTATAGTGAATTAATAAAAGGCATAAGGACTTTCCCCGGGGGGAGGGATTCTGAAAAGCATTCCGCCGCAAGAGACCGCACAAAGAGCAGCTCTCGCGTCTTCAGAGGCATTATATTTTGAGATTCCCGGCGTGCATAAGCATTGTTCGTATTCCGTACTGACCATTAAAATGTAGTTTAAACTGAATTTCGAAATTTCTTTCATTTCTGAAAACCAATGTATTATTTTGTGTATTGTTAAAAGATATTCTATACATTTCCTTGCAAGACCTCGGTGATCTACTGGGAACCATGTCAGAGACATCAGGTTTACGGTGGGACATGAACCCACTAACTCTATGCTACAGAGTCTTCTCGGACACGGAATTCAGTTGATGACGAGGATCTATATGCTTCTCGCTTTTATCTTCTGTATCTTGAGAGAGATGATTGTTGTTGTTGTTGTTGTTAATTTACGTCGCACTAGAGCTGCACAATGGGCTATTGGCGACGGTCTGGGAAGCATCCCGGAGGATGATCCGAAGACATGCCATCGCAATTTTGATCCTCTGCGGAGGGGATGAGAGAGATGAACTGAAATTATAGGGTTATTGTGAATGTAGCTGAGCAAAGATAAATTCCGTGATTAAGGATAAAAAATGTGATTTATTGCCTAATTACATGGTGTACCTACAAATATGGTGTACCAGCACCTTTGGAGAGCATCAAGTATTCTAAGGTACTCATTATATAAAAATACCATCAGAGATAGGTAGATAAGTAGGTACTTTATTTACGTTGCACTGGAGCTGCACAATTAGCTATCGGCGACAGTTTGGGAAACATCCCTAAAGGATTATCGGAAGACATGCCATCACAATTTTTGAGAGGCCACTTTCTCAATTCAAACATAGATATGAAGGAGAAGGAAATTTTCTCCAAATCCCTGTACCCATGGTACTGCTCGGCGACCAACCATACAACTTTTGATTTCACAGCACGCATATCGCATTTACTCGATGGGTGCTAGTGGAGTCAAGGATCGCACTTCGGCCCTTCCAGACTTGAGTCTGATTCTCTAAACACTGGGCTACCACGGCCTTCATCAGAGATAGTTGTGGTTTATTTACGTTGCACTAGAGCTGCACAACGGGCTACTACAGAAGGTATGAGAAACATCCCTGAGGATGATTCGAAGACATGCCATCACAATTTTGATCTTCTACAGAATCGCAATCAATAAATAAGACTTATTTTTGACGGACTCTGTGAAAGCAAGAAGTAAATCAATTTAGTAATCATAAATGTAATATTTTATTTGGGTTCAACAACAGAGTTTAAAACAGCAAAGCAAACAGAGTACAGTTAAAGTTATTCTAAAAGTTTGCTTAAAAAAGGTTACCCTTTTGATGGTTTAAATTTATGTATCTAAAATAAATGAGGCAGAACAAATTAAATAGTTCGGGGAATACAGCTGATTTAATGCTATAAAGAAACAATGATAATTCAGAGAAGTTTTGTTTGGGCACTTATGATTGAATATGTAAGTAAAAATGAGAGAAAAACACTGGTATATTTTTTTTGTCGAATGAGTAATCTTATATGCCTTTACTTTTAATTTGCTAATATACAGTATTTTTTTGTAATATTTTTTACGTATTAAGTAAGAAAAAAAAATAATGACTTTAAGGTGTTTGAAATTCAAAAGCATAAAATGTTATAGTTGCAAAGAATTATTGTCCAATAAAATTTATGTTTGAAAATGAGAATAATATGTGTTTAAATATATTAGTAAGCTTCTATTACTTAAAGAATATAAAATTCAGATTTTTTTAGCAAATATTTGTAATTGAACTCATTATCGAGAGTACTAATCCACACCACGAATATATTTTTCAAAATTACAAATAATTTTAAAAATTAAGATACAATTATTATTTATTTTAGTTTTTATCCATGCCGTAATACTTTCTCCAGCAATTTTCTTTTAAAAACTAAAAAACTAATATGTATATTTATTATATTTATATATATATTACACTGCAGAATTATTTGAATTTGGTTCCATATTTTCTGAAAATACTTTCTACAAATTTTTTATAAAACAATAAAAAGATTATGTACGCAACAACAAATTTAGATCGGACAGCAAATGATCGCTCTGTAATCGTCATTTCTAAGCTAAGTTTTGGGTTAAATGGAAAATACCATAAGCATATATTTTTAGGGTACCCAAAATATGTTATTTCCCATTTCATTTATATATTTACATTTTATTTAATGCAGTCAAATTTCATCTTGTAGACAACTCTTGAATTTTTTAAGAAAATTCAAGAATTTAAGAAATTCGTAAGAATATTTTTCTTTGCATCGCGAGATTGAATTTAAGTCAGTTAGTTATTAAAGCGAGGCATTCATAGCTTTTAAAAGTACTAGAAATATTGATCAACAGTAGAAATATTTGTCTAGAAATATTTATTAATGAAGCTATAAAAAAGAAATTGGAGATTGAAGTTCAAGACACGCATGATTAAAAACATAAATCGAGATATTTTACGTATTGAGTTAGCTGGAAAGTGTTTAGTATGGTTTTCTTGTTGGGTATTTCATAAAATAATAAATAGCAGAAAATTTTTTAAATTTGCTAACAGAATTAGACTACTTCTTGAAATCTGGCGGACATTTAGCAAGTTCTTTGATCTAGAGTTTTTTTTTTTTGTTCTCTGAAATTTATATGAAGCTGAATGTTCTAAATGTTCTGTAAATTTCGAGAAAAAAAGAATAGTTAAGAAATATTTATAGAATATTTTTAAATCCGTTCCAGATATTTTTTAGTCATATGCAACAAACTACCTACGTTCTATTTTCTCCGAGTAAGCTTTATAATTGATTAAAATTATTGACATGTTCGTTTCTATAGATAATTATTACAAGTAGAATTTTATTTTTTCGAAATTTCATAGTTTATATTGCATTTTAAGTTTGCAGAATAATTTGTTGACATTTTTTTCTCCAGTTTCCGTCAGTAATTCCGACACATAATTGCGTTAATATTTTTCTTACTTAATTATTAGAATAAAAACAAATTCATTTAATTATTTAATAAAAATTCAATATAAACTCATGTTTGTGAAAATTGCAACACCATGAAGGATTTACGCGAGTGAGCTGAAATTTTCAGGAAATGCAAAGTAGAGCATAATATACAAATGATTAGAATTTCAGATCCGTAGCGCATGCTGAGCAGCGCTCTCTAAACGGCGGATGGAACCAAATAAAAAGACGGCTGTAGCGAGGCGTGTATGGTTATCGGTGGTTATCTGCTAGTGATAAACGTTAGCTTAGACGTTACTTACGCCTCTTCGACGAAAGAGAGCGAGATTTCAACAACTTACGGAGTTTGAAAGGGGGAGAATCATCTGCCTTCGTGAAGCTGGATTGTCTTATGGTGTAGTAGCCGCTCGTGTGCAGCGTAACAGCAGCACAGTGATGCGTGTTTGGAAACAGTGGACGGACGAGTGTTAGACAACTCGGAAATCCGGGAGTGGGCCCCTAAATGTCACGTCAGCTCGCGATGATAGACACCTGGTCCACATGGAGCTGACAGACCGTACGGCTCCCTCCAGACAACTGGCAGCACAGTGGTCAATAGCTACAGGTGTTTCATTGTTTGCTTCATCAATTCTTAGACGTCAACTGCAGCGTGGACTGCGCGCAAGGACTCCTTTATACAGGATCACCATCACGCTAAGCCATAGCCGCCTGCGGCTACAATGGGCCAATTAGCATAGGGACTGGCGTGCAGACTGGCAGCGTGCCGTGTTTTCTTACGAATCCCGCTTTAATTTGTGGTACCATGATGGCCGCATTCGTGTCAGACGCTATGCCGGTAAACACCACCTTCCGGAGAGCATTATCGAAAGCCACAGTGGACGAACACCAGGAGTTATGGTTTGGGGTGCCATAGCATATCATGGACGATCTCAATTGCTACGAATTGTGGGTAATCTGAACAACAACCGGTACATCAGTGAAGTTTTACAGCCCCAAGCTGTTCCCTTCCTTCAAGCCTTGCCAGGTGCTGTATTTCAACAAGACAATGCCAGCCCTCATATTGCTAGGACTGTTCAATCCTTAATTGCACTGCGGCAGGTACAGCTTCTTCATTGGCCTGCGTATTCCCCAGATATGTCACCGATTGAACATGTGTGTCATTTTGTTGGTCGGTGCCTCGCTCGTGATCCTCGTCCTGCTGCTTCTACAGACGAACTTTGGGTACGCATACAATTTATATGGAATGCTCTTCCTCAGATAGACATTCAAAATTTTCTTGACTACATGCCATGTCGTGTAGCAGCGCTTATTGCGGTGCGTGGTGGCTACACAAAATACTGATTTCGATCTCTTGTTATTGGTTGTTTACTTTGAAAGTTTAATCACTTATTTGTACCACTACCACTCAACTGTGTAGTAAATTTCATTCAATTATGACTATTCCTTCATGGTGTTGCAATTTTCACTAACATGAGTTTAAATATATAATAAGAAATATATAGTTTATTATTAGATCTTTGATAAGAATTATGATTATTTTTTAAGAATGACATTAATGAATAAAAATAATTCATTTGTATATTTTTTTGTGTATACACATAGAATATTTTATTATGCATTGTTTTTTTCCATTTATTTGATGATTTCTCAACATATTAAGTAGAAATTTTTTTTCTTTCACTTATTGCAATTAAATGTTTATTTTTTAAAATTGATTTGTTTAAGTCATATTTTTTCATCAAATATGAATCCCTATGTGTTAAAAAAACATTAATGTATTTTATTATTTTTGTAGTCATGTTTTCTTAAAAAAATCTGTTTGCAGTTACTTTTTATTATTTATTATAATAAGCAATATTTTATATTTCTTGTGTTTGTAATTTTAATTATTTATGTGAGTTATTTCATGTTCAAATTTTTCTTCAACACTGACCATTAAAAAAATCTCTTTCATTTTGATTCAATTTGGGTAGATAAAGGTAGGCTGCGATGTGTGTATAGTTGAAAATTAGGAAGTACAAAAATCGAGCTCATTCCTTTTATTATCTTTTATAAAATGTTTTTAATAACATCTTTTTATGATGGTTTATGCTCTATAAAGCAATTGGCTATTAAAATTGAGAATTGATTGATTGGGGTAAAAATACTGATAAGCCACACATTTTCCATGAGTTACATTTTTTAAAACATCCAGCTGTTTCTTAGTATTGGTTCCAAATCGGCACTTTATAAGTTTCTAGAATTTTGCGGTGCAATACACGGAAAATTTTTATAACGTACTTTGAAATCGTAGTATTTTTTACCAAAAACATTCTCTATAGCAGCTGGAAAATAGGGCTTATCATTATATAGTGCCAAATCCTTCAATTCTGGCATTTTTCTAAGAGGTATAACTTAAAAAAGAGAGTAGGGTTCCAAAATATTTATATTTAATTGTAGAACTCTAAAATGTGACTCTGGTAGAAAACACAGACTTTTAATGTGCAAAAGATTTGTATGTATCTATATTATTATTATATTATAACCATTGTTGGACAGCTGACCCAATTTTTGGTTTTACGACTATTAATGCTCAACTCCGTAACCTTGTAACTTTTAACACAATCCAGAAGACAAAGGAACTCCTAGATCAAGTATTGGGACAAACTGGACTTCGTGGAGGACTTTTTGATGGAACTATCCCGAATTTACGCTACATGGAGAGGAAGACCATGAAATCCACCCCGGTTAGTTTGACGGCAAGGGGACTCTAACTCCGTATACTACAGAGGATATTTTACGTCAGCACTGTGGTCGATGGGAGCCAGGTGCTGAATTCGTATCGACTAATCAAGGCTGGGATTCGAACCCAGTTCACCTCATTGGGAGGCGAACTCTCTATCCCCTGAGCCACCACGGCTGTGCCTCTATAAATGATCAGTCAAGCAATCTTTGTATATATATACAGAATTAATTTTAGGAACTTTTTACGTGTTTTTTTTTCTTCTTAATATTCGCCAAATTGCAGAAAGTTGCACACCATGGAATTACTTTTTGGTCAGGAAGTGTTTAGTTCACCATTGCATTATGTAAAGTTGGATTTTACATTTCAACTCCTTTTCATTAAATATAAACTCTTAACTCAATGAAGGGAATCTTCGTCTTAAAATATTCAAAATTTAATTCCTTATTATGAAACTATTCAAAAACATAATTCTAATGATATATTCAAAATGAATAATTCTTGCAAATATATATTGGCATCTCTACAGATCAAGCACATAAAAAAGTAATTTTTTGGGTTTGACCTAAATTTCTGGACTCTATCAACAATAATGAACTCCTAATTGCATCATCAACGTTGCAATACGCATGGAAATTGGACTGTTTTTATAAGCATTATTTTTTTAATACTTCTTAAATACACCCTAACGTTTCTTTATTAATCTTTTTACAGAATTTCTTTCATCAATTCATCTTTTTACAGAATACATCTCAACACAGAATTTTTATCGTTTATAATTTTCCGAAATATTTTAATGAAAACAATAAAATAGAAATAAGCAAGTAAGTAACATGAATTATGCATAACCAATAATTGTAGCAGTACGAAAAGATAGAAACTATGTTAATAAAAGCCAATACCAAGAAAGAGTTTCCTTAAGATAGGGGTGATTAAGATAGATATAAGATACAATTTTAAGACTAAAACATATTATAAGACACATTAGTGTAATATAAATAAAACAAATAATAAGATGTAAAAATCTTTGAAAAATATTTATTTAATCAAACATGCGTATTTGAACTTATACTTATAACCTTCTCTATGCACAAATAAACATAGAAATGCTTAACTTTTATTAGGAATATATACTTTAGTTAAATTTTTCCAGAAATTTCAGCTCAGGTGTGGCATATTCAGTAATAAATAAAAACCTCGATTTTGGGCATAATGGATAATGAAAGTTTAAAAAAAATATTGCGACAATTAAAAATTAATTTTATTTTAATTACACAGTAAAGATACAGCAAAATTGTATGAGCAGCTTTCGCCAATGTTGATTTTTTTATTTCCATTTACCAAAGATATCTCTGTATTATAATTTAATTTAGCGATTTTTTGGATATAAAAGTAACACTTTTAATGTGTATTTGTTTTGTTATTTATTGCTAGATAATTTTGTTAATACCCAATTCGAAATATTTATCATGATTTTCGTTAATTGTTAAAAGACGTTTTTTTCCACAATTATATTAAGAGCTCTATATTTGTAAGAGACCACAAATTTCGTGATAAAAAGTGCTTCATGTTTAAGAAAACAAAAATGCAATATATTATATTGAAAAACAATGTATCCTATTTATGCACTTGCAGTATTTGTATAATTATGTCATTGAACTGTTTACCTACACCCCCTACTTTCTTATCAATGAGAAATAAATGAACCAGGACGGTCAAATAGCGGCTAGGTACATTTCCATTCACTAAAAATATAATTTGCGTGCCGAGGAGTGGAAACAGTCCAGATAAAAGTGACTGCATCTGGATATTTTTTTTAAATCATTTCCTTATTTTTGGAGAAAAAGTATCTAAGTCTTTGAGGAATACACAATCATGTCAAATTTTAAAGTTTTCATCCTAGTCTTGTTATCCCTGGGTGAGATTTTTGCAGCAATGCCAGCAAAAAATCTTTCAGAAACTGATGATCGCTATCTTTTGTTTCTTGTACATTGGCTCGAAAGAGTTGAGGAAATAATAGGAAGATTTTCAAGGCCCAGGTAAATCTACTCAGAATCTTTTTTTTTCAATTTGAAACCTTATCATTTAATTTGCAGCTTCATATATTTAATTTACATAATATGCTAATTATACCTTTTAATTTTTGAGCCTAATATCTTTGTATATGGGCAATTAATTTGGAAATATTTGGAAAATTAAAAAATGAAAATAAAATAATTCCGTATTTATTTATTTTATTTTCTATGTACAAATTGTCATTTGAAGATTAATTTCGATGAAAGTAAATTTTAATATAAAACATATTTATACCTGTTTGTACAAAATAGCATTTAAATTGTAAATTATATTGCACTATCTAGTACTATAATTAAAAATAAACTTGAATATGAAAGTTAATTGATGAAAAAAGATTAATAAAAAGATATTATCTCTAAAATCCGAATATTTTGATTATCTGAAGTAGGTCAAGTTCTTTAGATAATCGAGACTCTACTGTAAATAATTTTAATTTAAGGCTTCTTAAACTTCTTTCATTGAAGAGCGTCTTTTTACACTGAAATTCCTTGCGCGATCATACGTTTATAGAGATGCATGTAATATGTTATAATTATAAATATACACTGTAAGAATTTGATGAAATGTATTGCTTAAATTTGCAGTAGCTTTAATATGATAGCTTTAATTTGTTAAACTATATTATCGTCTTATTAAACTTAATTACGCAATGCTATGGTTCAGCAGCCAGATAGTAAACATTTCAATTTGAAACCCCACATAAGATAGTATAAACATATATAGTAAACATAAACATAAGATAGTAAACATAGTTCAATTTAACACCTCTATTAAAATTGCTGTAGTTTTGTTTGATATTGGGATTCAACTTGAATTGACATTTCTGTGAGTTTACTAAATGAAAGGTATTTTTCAATAGTAAAATTGAAATATTTCTATGCTATTTGACCAAAACAAACAATAGAATAGTAATACTTCAACACATAAAATTTAAACGAAATATATTTTGAGATCGCTTTTTAATATAAATTATAATTTCATTTTTAGCTGTAATAATACTTTTATTTACTTCAAGCAAAAATCAAAAGTTAAAATTTAACCCTTTAAATCTACATAAGTCATCACAAAGAAGCGAAATATCGCTTTTGATTTGAATGCTTATTAAAAATGATAATTCAAATATTTTTTTAATTCTTTTTTCTTAAGTTACATTGATTTAAAAATAATATCTTTGTTATGGTATATTTTAAATTTTTATTTTATTACTTATAGGTTTTTTACTTTTATTTCTCATGTTATGTGTTTTTTGTGTAAAATAATATTTGATTTGTTTATTGTTTTAATTGTATGAATTGCTATATAATTATAAATTATATTACTTACTTTAAAGGTATTGGTATCTATAAAGGTTCAATTATATTAAAAATTAGCAATTGAGTGTGAGAAATAAATGACAATACTTAAGTTCTTTTTTAATTACAGAATTTATGTAATTCATAAGAAACAGTTATTATAATTATAATGCTTAATTAGAAGTTTCAAAAAATTAAAATTTGCAGTATGTGCAGTATATTTATTAATAAGCATATTTTCTTTTTCTTTGTAGTAGAAACGGATCTCGAACATTTTTATTCATGTAATCAATGAAAACCTATACGGATGTAAGATACGATGCTTATTAGGAAATACTAAATACGTACAATGCTATGTGTGCTATAAAAAAGAAAAGTAGAAACGTATTGAAATTATAATTTTATATTATCTAATTCTTACATTTTAAAATTCGAAATTAAAAAGTATATTGAATTTCTCATTGTACGTAGAAAACTCTACAAGCATCGAAGCTTTTTTTTTCTAATTTTGCATAGAATAAATTTTGTACTTTGTATCGTAAAGTTGAAAATATATAAATCAAAGGACGTTTACTGCAGGAAATACTTAGTTTATGTTTCTTTATTTTATTTGTACACATATTAAATTCAAATTTGTAATTTTGTTTAAATAAGTTTTTAGAGCATATCATGGGTGAAGTTATAATGATAATTTTTTTAAAATGAATATTTAATTCATTTTAGAGTTAATATATTATAGAAACTCAATAGTTTTTTCGCAATGCAAGCTTTACTTTTACGATAAACAAACCATAGTCGATTTGGGGGGGATTTTTTAAAAAAATCTACTCTAAGTTCTATATAAAATTTTTCAAAAACAACGAAAATACAATAAAATTTTTATTTCAGATTTGGAAGAAGTATTCAAAGAGCTGCAGAAGGAAACGATCAGGTAGTTTACTTTATTAACCAGTATTGAAATTAAAACAAAGTATATTTTCATAATTTTAACTTGGTAAATCACACTTTGTTAAATAAATTAGAAACATAAAAAGCGTGTACAAGATCAAGATTTCGATAAAATAATGCAATAATTTTCTTTTAATAAATACTTTTATAAATCCTTATGAAAAGTATCATCAATGAATTAAATCAAAATTTTGAAAAATATTTTTGTTCAAAAGTTTTAGAAAGCGTGATAAAAATTGTTATGAAGAAGCATTAATAATGGATATTTAGAGTTTTAGTGTGAATTCTTTTATAGAGATTATTTTATTAATATAATAGCAAAATTTAAGAGCAAGATAAAGAATAATAAAACAAACACTTTTTTCCATAGTAGTTTTCATGCAAAACATGATAACTTAGCATTTGGAGAGAAAAAAAGCTTGACATATCATAATTTAAGTTTTCGTTTAACTACAATTGAAATATACTGCCTTTTAGATATTCCTTAATTTCCTATTTAAATATTTAGAAAGATCCAGAAAACACTCTGCGTATGGTCGAACATTTTCCTTATCTCCTGCTTTTAGTCTTAAAACCAGGTAGGTTCTGCATCTGGACTATTCAAATAAAAGAAAAAATAATTTGATTTAATCTTCTCTATGCTTTTAAGAGAATGTATTTTTGAAGAAAACTATTAAAATTTCAATAATAATTTAATTATTTATACGAATACTGTATAATAAATATAAAGGTAAAATTTTTTTAAAAAGGCATGTTAAACTGTTCCTTCAGAACAGTACTTTCTGAAATTTTTTTTTAGACATTAGTATGTCAGTTTTATAAAATGTTTAAAAATAATGTCATGTAGAGTTAATAGAGTTGTAGAGAAGTTTGAAAAATAAATAAGGAAAAGTGAATAAAATGGCTTCCTTTCTTCAAGATCGATTTCAGACGCGTAGGGAAAAAAAACCTAGAAGAAATTACAGCCCTACTTTGCATTAATTTGGGTTTTCAAGACAGGCAGGTTAATCAATTATAAGACAACGTTTGATAAATGAATTTGTTGTGAAAGAAATTACGTTATTCCTTTTTAACACGTTTAAAAAAACGAGTTAATATTTGTTATTGAAAGTAAAAAAAAAAAATTTTTTTTTTAATTATAATGAAAATTATACTTACTAGTAATGAAGTGAAAAGAAATTAGAGAGAAACGCGCTACTAGTTTAAATAAGGTATAACTTTTTGACAGAAAAGAATTGAAACAGAAATTAATTATTTATTGGTATCTAAAGAAATAGGAGAAATTTTCCGAAGTAGGAATGGTTAGGAGTTAAAAGAAATAAACAGAAATAGATAGGAAAACATTTATTATGTCTCTTTTTTCGCAACTGAACTTTATTTAAGCCATTTATGTATACAAATATTATACATAAAATCATTTCTGCATTTCTGTATTGAAAATTGACTACAAGAAAGTGGTAAAAATATATTTTCTATACAAAGATGAACCTTCTNTAAATGAATTTGTTGTGAAAGAAATTACGTTATTCCTTTTTAACACGTTTGAAAAAAAACGAGTTAATATTTGTTATTAAGAGTAAAAAAAATTTTTTTTTAATTATAATGAAAATTATACTTACTAGTAATGAAGTGAAAAGAAATTAGAGAGAAACGCGCTACTAGTTTAAATAAGGTATAATTTTTTAACAGAAAAAAATTGAAACAGAAATTAATTATTTATTGGTATCTAAAGAAATAGGAGAAATTTTCCAAAGTAGGAATGATTAGGAATTAAAAGAAATAAACAGAAATAGATAGGAAAACATTTATTACGTCTCTTTTTTTTTGCAATTGAACTTTATTTAAGCCATTTATGTATACAAATATTATACATAAAAATCATTTCTGTACTTCTGTATTGAAAATTGACTTCAAGACAGTAACAATATATTTTCTATACAAAGATGAACCTTTTCGTGGTTGAATCGTTGTCGAGAAGTATGAGTACTAATCCTTTCATCATATTAAATATGAAGTTATCAAAAAATTTGCTTCGTATTTCTAAAGACATTTGAACAAAATCTCATAGCGTCCTATGATTTTTGTTCACATAGTTTATTTCCAGCATTTTACTTAAGCATCTGATGATCATAACTCATGCTCTTATAGCTTATTATCTCTTTATTCAAATATAAACCTGCGCCTTTTTTAATATGCAATCTTTCAATTCTTTTAATGATAAATTTTTTGAAAGTGAAATTCTGAGTAAAACCCCTAAATAGATGATAACAAAAAATCCCATAATTTTTTGAATGATCTTTGTTTAAGAAAAGCCACCGAATTTCAATACAATAAAACTGTTATATGCAGTGGTGCCTAACTGTAAAAAGGTTTTATTTCTGGAAATAAGCTATTTGTTGAGAGTATTCATATGTAAATGCAGTGTATTTATTTTAACTAACTGCGAAATTTATTTTTTAGGTGAAGAATCGTATTCATTATGAAAAAATATTTCCTAAACGTAATCTCTAAAAAATCAAGATCAAAGGAGGGACTGAATAGTTGATGATGATTTGGATTAATTTCGAAAAGGAGAATTGGAAAAAGGATGGGTAAAGTAGTCTGTAGGAAAATGTTTATTTCCTAAAAGCACGAGTATTTCTCATTTGCAAACAGTGTACAGAAGTAGATTGCTTAAAGTGAAATGCAAGCTGGAATTGTGTAGCTTAAAAAAGAGCATTTCAGGACGTATTGAAAATGTTTACTTTTCAAAATCTACGTCATTTATTTTGACTCAAAACTTGTTTGGTATAGTATTGCAGGGGTCTTCAAACTTTTTAGCTTAACTATCACAATGAGACATATACTGATTCTTGATCTCAAGACCTAGCCAGCTAAGCCGATATAGTCGGGATTGGTCCCCCTCTACCCAAACTTAAACATTTAAAAAACATTGCTCAACTTGGATTTTTTAAGGAGCTTTGTTTATCTTTCCACCTGATTCATGGTAAGACTTCTTGACTCATTTAGCTACTAGTTAGCTCAGAGGTTTTCAACTTATAAAAGTCCGGGAGCCGCAATCAAAACCACCCATGGTGGACCACCATTTAGAAGTTCATATTCAAGATATTTTTCGAAGCTGGGCTACAATCGTGGTCAGCCCAATTTTCATGAAGTTAAAGTAAAAAAAAATAACTATCAGATAATGAATAAAACAGGAAGTGAGCACTCTAACACTTTTAATGGCATTTTCTTTAAAGAATAAATTCAAACGAAAATAATGTTACTTTGAGAACAAATGTGAATATTATTTTTAATTCAAATGTTTAAAATTTAAATGAAAGCTTATTCATATGTTTAAGTTTGAAACATTATCACGATAAACTGCGGTAAACTAGAAATCTGGCAGGCTTGCTCCGGTGGTCCTGATTAGTGATAATGACGGGCCGTACTTTGGAGACCCCTGATGTATTTAAAATGTCTGTTTATAAAAAAATATGCTATATTTTATGTGGATGCGCAAGTTGTGTGGCCAAGTATTTCTGGATTTATTGAAAATGTCTATTGATTGAAACATGCATAATTTATGCAAATGTGCAACCTATAGACGAAACATTTCAGGTTTCACTGATGATGGATAGAAGTTTAAATATCTAAGTGTAAGTCGTGGCAATATGTAACTGAAGTAAAACTGTACTGCTTGATTTTCTAAATGTTTATCTTGAATAAAGCAAGTTTACGAGGCAATGTGTGATTTTTTTACTTTCCGGTAGAACTTTTGTCTTAATAATGATAAAATACTAAAGAATGTTGAAATAAGGCTTTTTGCTTTTAGGTGCAGTTTCTTTAATTGGAATTTATGCATGATATTTCAAAAATGTTATTCTTAATTAAAGTGTTTGGTTTCAAAACCAGCTCGATTTCATTTAACATAAGAGATACAAAACAGCATTTAGTTAACCACTTATATTTAGGTGAAAAGTTTGGATGTTTTTTGGAAAGAGCTGTAATGTTTGGTTGTTGAGTTTTCCCTGATTAATATTTTGTTAAAATTAAATGAGATTATTATTATGTTAAAAATGATATTTTAAAAATGCCTTACCTTATTCATAAAAAAACTAAATTTAACATGAATTTAAAGCAGAAACTTTTGAATTCAAATTTTATAACAAAAGGGATTATATATTTCTTCTTTTGTAGTTTTAATATTTTATTTGTAATTCTTGAGGAAACCGATATTCTTTGGCGTTATGTATGATGTGGTTTAAGAGAAATACAAGTAAGAAGAATCAAACCAACTNAAAAAAAAAAAAAAAAAAAAAAAAAAAAAAAAAAAAAAACATTTTTACTGGGAAAACATATACTCCGTCCCTTAGAACGGAGCGTCATTTTTGGGTTCTTTATTTGAATCTGAACTCATTTTGTTAACTAAGATATAACATTACTGGAATATAATTCTTTACGAAAGAGACCTTTTTTTTTAAAAAAAAAATTGATTACTTGGGTAGAATGTTAGATAAAAGCACATATATTTAACCTTATACTTTTCTGTATCTTAACTAAGAGAACTAGGATTAACAGTATAGAACAAAATCAATTATATTAAATCAAATGCAGGTCTTGCTAGTAATCAAAGACTTCATTTTAAGGATACAATAATTTCTTCAAATTTTATTCACTTTATCTAAAAACTACCATCTTGTATCTCATTGATGTATTTTTAATTGCACATACACGCTGTTACATTGTTAAATAAATTTGACGAGAATTTTGAAATATTTGATCCAAAGGCACAAAACATGGCTATTTTAAGAATGTTTCAGGAATTAGAATTTTTATTTCAATTGACTTTTAAAATATCTTTTGTGCAGAAAAATAAAAGAACGAGGTTCAAAATATTTTTGTAACTCAGTTTTACAGTACAATTCGCAATACAATGAGCCTGTATTTACAGTACAAAAAGCCAATTTTAATGTAATTTGCTTCTAAAAGTTTAGAAAAATACATTAGAAAACTGCATTGCAGAATTGTTGTTTATGTTCGTCTTAATCAAAAGAAATTGAAATGAATAAAATTAAATTAAAAGTTAGATTCTGGACATTAGAAAATTAAAAGTACAATATACACTGGAAAATTAAAAGAAAAAGAAATATAGAGTTAGCAATCGAATGTGGAATTTTATTTCTCATTGTTAACTTTATGACATTGTTGATTTTTCCTGAAATTTATTAATTCATTAACAATGTTATAACCAAAGCAATTTTTTATTACATTTAAATTAGCAAACAATGTTTTTTTTACGAAGCAAATCACATTAAAGAGCAAATATCACTATGTTGAAAAGTGCAATGTATCATCCTTTGCTCCAACTTTACCATTATTCGTGTTTGTTCTAACTAAAATCAGCTTTTGGTATTTGTAAGTGAATTAATTTCATAAAAATCATAATTATTTTTTTTAAATAATTAAAACAGCAGCTAAATGTGTTTCATTATGAGTAAAAAAAAAGAGTCTTTTTCATCCATTTTATCAAAATTCTTATTCGAAAAGTCAGAATTTAAGTTTATTGACCTAAAAGGGGGTGGTGAATTACCGCTTGCAACTGTGTCTCTCTTTTACTTATTCAAACGTGATAGTGCAGATTAAAACTCCCTTCCAATACTCATGTTATCTACTTAGATAAATGAATATTGCAAACGTTTTCTATGAATTAATAATGATTTCCAGAGTCAGACAATTATTGATTAGCTTTTAAAGGAACAAAAGAACTGGCACAGATTCGGACACAGCATATATGATTTATCTAATATTTTTGTGCTTGGACAAACTGTAAGACGAATTTAAAAATACCTTATAACTTTATAAATAATGCAATGATATACCGCAAATACAACTAGTGGTAGTTGAAATATAATTATCTATCGTCTATAAAACCCTCTGTTTAGATTTTTAAGTAGTTAAACTTTAAAAATGCTTCAGAAACGGAACTTATGAAGCAGAATGATTTTATTTGTTTTTCTTTTTTGGAATGTTTTTTAATGATTTAAAAAGAGAAAATGAAATTATTTAAAAAAGAAAACAAAATATTGAAATTAAGTTTTTTTTTAATAATAATTTCAGAGTACGAATACTAAGTCCTAAATTAAATTGGTTCCATCAAGTTTTTCCCAAGTAAAATCAGTTTGATTTGGTATTTTTGAGAGATAAAACTCGTGAATATGTATCGTTAAAAATCTTTAATTTTTATAATATGGGTGCTTTGTGCAGATGCACTTAAAGCACAATTTACTATATTAATTCTTTTTTTGGCAAAAAATATAAATTAATTTTTATGCCATTATGAAAAAAAGGTATTTTTGAAGTTTTTTTCTAAATTCCTATCAAATTTTGTAAAAATGACCTTTAAAAATGAACTTAGGAATCCAAATTTTAAAATCACCTCACTAATCAAACTTACATAGGCAATAAATATGCTTTAAACTAGAGTATTTTTAAGATTAAAAACAATAGCCTAGAGTACATTTAAGTGTACAAACAATAACCTAGAGTATTTTTAAGTGCATAAATTATATCTAGAGTATTTTCAAGAGTACAGACAATAACCTTTCTTTCGCACAAAAAAAAAAAAAATAAAAAACTTCTCTGAACGAAATGCAAGGTATAATTTTTATTTCCTAACGCATTTCAAATTTAAAAAAAATAAAAAGTGCAGTTCTTGAAGTGTTTTTCATTTAAACATGGAAAAAAATTTAAAATTCACCACTAAAATATAAGTTTATATAAGCGAAAGCATGCCTTTTGCCGGATTTTATATTAATGAAGCTGGTTGCAATTTGCTGCAATCTGAATACAGCGTCAAGTTGAACAACTTATTACCATGCATATTAATTTTCATTGAACTTGATCATAAGATAATATGATTTAATTTGAACGGGTTTAATTAACGGAACGGAATTTCATTAAACTCTTTATTAAATTTGCAATACACTATCAAAATTCAATTTTTATGCTTCAACGTTGGACAAATTTTTCTGAGAGTGCAGTTTATGGTCATTATAAATGAACTAACATAAATTAAGTGGGAGCTCGCATGTAATATGCATGCATGGTTCNAGTTAATGCAAAGCAAGAATTTCGCTCAAATAAGAATGTATTTCACTCAAGTGGAGTTAAAAAAATTTAACTCCTTTTTGAGTAGGGGAAATAACTCTTTCATTTTAAGAGAGTAATTCTGAAAAGACGCTAGGTGATATTCTGAAAAGAAACTAATTAATTTTGATAAAAAATAATTTAAATTATATCAAAGATTTATGTTTTAAAACGTGCTGTGGTCTTCTGTATGAGTATAACTTAGTTTGTATTTGACCAATCATAAAGATAGTTTTCAGTTGGAAAATGTGTTTATAAATTATTTTCTGTTACTGACATTTTCTAAAGCTAATGTTTCTAAAAGTCTCTTAGAGCCTTTTTCTACTAAGCTCTTCATTTTCACGTAACAGCATTTTCCTATCAAAAAATATAGTACCTGCAAAATAATAACAGTATATACAAAAATTATAAAAAGTAAATCCCGAAGTTTCGGTTGTTCAAATAAGTCAAAATCATAAAAACTTAGTGAATTAACATAAGAGAGCAACATACTCTGCCTCACAATAATGAAAGAGACATTTTCAGTTTTCACCATTTTTTTAAAAAATTTCTCCAGAAATACTTAGAGGATTTTTTTAAATAATTTTAGAGGTATTTTTTATGTTATTTCTCCTGCTTATCAATAAAGTTTAAAATTTTCAGGGGTTTTGAGGGATAAGCAATAAATTGCGAACAAAAAAAAGGATGACGCGATGAACTTGCCTTTTTTGCCATAACTTTAAAAATATTCAATAAAGTGAAACAAATTTTTTGGTGAAATTATTAATTAAGAGAAAAAATTATAATTTTTAAATTTGAAAAAAAAATCGTTAAAAAAAGAGTAAGATTTGCGTACTTAAAGTCGTTTCTTCATACTACTCACATGCACGAAAAATTTTTAAATTTTGTTGTGAATCGTATATGGTTACTTATGAAAACAGTCTGATTTGAATCTCTCGAAAATGCAAAAAATTTCAGGGAATTTTCTAAATAGTTTGTGCATTTTTCTTAAACGAAAGTTCTAAATGATAAGGGTTTTTTCACAAATGTTATTTTGCACTATTAAACAAGACTTATTAAAAATGACGCCAGCATTGCAAGGGATCATCCCCTATAAAAATATGTTTTTTCCCTGTTTTCTTTCCTTATAACATCAGATTTTGGTGTACGAATGTTTATTGTAAGGCCTTATCACTTGTTATTAAGTCTTATCTTATGATACAATATGAAATTACACGAAAACTCCTAACCATTCAGAGCTTTCTTTCGAAATTTGTAAAAAGTACTTAATTGCTTGAAACTTTCTATATTTCCAAGATTTCTAATCAGACTTTTTTATTAGCTGCCAAATACACGAATTACGAAAAAAATTAAATGTTTTCAGCTCGTGAGAAGCATGAAAGAATTGCTTTAAATGCTTGTATCTCGCGCAGTTTTCAACGAATTTGTTTCAAATTTTAAAATGATACTTATCAATTAAAAAATCCTTCAAAAACTTTTGTTTAGTTTTATTGAATATTTTAAAGTAATAGTAAAAAATAAAAAATAAAAACAAAGTATAGTTTTTTTTTTAAAAAATGCCCGCATCTCTATAAATATTTAAGCTAGGCTTACGAAATTTTATGCCGTTATTGCATATAGCGACCGAAATAATTGTTACAAGCAACAAGTTTATTACTATATTCTCTGACAGAGTATTCAAAAAAATTTTTTTCGTTGGCAATTTATTGATGATCCCTCAAACCTCTGAATGCTTTAAATTTTGCTGATGTGAAATCGCATGGATTAAACTCCTTTAAAGTTATAAAATAATCCTCTAAGTATATCTCGAGAAATTTAACGAAATGTTAAAACTGAAAGTGTCTCTTCAATTATTGTTAAACTTTAAAGCTAATTTACTCAAAATCACTAAAACTACTTTTAGAACCTTTATCCTCGAAATTCTTGAAATTTTTAGAATTAAGAGGATGTGATATTTACGGCCAGAATCCCCCTATAGATTTAAAGTTTATAGTTGTAGAAAATTTTGAGTATTGCAAAACTCTTATATTTTTTTAAAAGGAATAAATAAAAAAATAAAATATCAAACAAATTTAAAATCTTTTTCTTTACATTCACTTTTCCCTTATTGGCCAAGGGGATAAATGATAAAAAATATCTTGTCCATCAAGTACTAGGATGTGATCCAAGGAGGCGGAACAGAGCATCTTTATCACGTGATGAAAGAAGGACTGAAAGAGAATGTACTTCAAAAATGATATAAAAATATTAAATCATAGCTAATAACGATATCTTACTTTAGCTGAAGTTGTCTTTCTTACATCTTAGTCTCATATAGGTGTCTCAGGTTAGAATTTCTTTCTTCTTTTGGATAAATGCTTGGAAGTAAAAATAAGATTTATAAATATTTTATTTTATTCGCGCTAAAATTAAAAGTCAATTTGTTTACTGATAAGGTTAGTGATAAGCGTGCTTACTTAGATTTCGTTGACGAAGAAATATTTTCTATTACCTCTGGTAGCTCGTTAAACAAGGTTTGAGGAGAACTTTTCAAACTATACAAACCTTAATTTAAAGCATTAATCACTAAATCAAATTAGATTTATGTTTCATTAAAAAAAGTTAAACTTAATCAAATGAATTTTTTGCGTAAAAATTTCATTTTTAATCCTTGCTGCTTAAAATTTCTGTAAATTAATGCATGCGTAACAAAAGCATTATTTTAGTTACATAGCTTATTTATTGTTATTTCAGATGCAACTTTAATGCTGTGGTAAAATTACCCTATGACCACCTAAGCCAAAAAATAATTTTTTTTTCTGAGAATGAGGCGTGTTCGTCATACTTTAGAAAAATAATTATATTTTTACCTCAAAGTTTATTACATAATCTGGTCAGATTTGTTCTTAGAGGGTGCAAATTAAACGACCGCTCAGGGCTGCTGAAAATCACCTTATTCATGAGTGCATTTAAGTTGATTGAATTTTAAAATTGGAACCTATTTGAGGGTATGTCATTAATCCAATTTTAAAATTGCTTCTTTAAATTTGCGGGTCTTCGGCTATAATCGTTTTTATCATTGTTTGCATGATAATTACCACCACGGAAGCAAGTGAAACACCTAGAACTTTTTGTGAAACACCAGCAACTATTATACATTTCAGGCTCGTCACCATCTTTCAAAATAAAGCAGTATTAGTTTAATGGACTTCGTGTTGCTACAGAACACATTGAAAAGTTTTAACTTCAATTTCCCTTTTCTAAATTTTTTTAAATCTTAATCAAAAGCAAAATTCTAGTGTGAAGAAAAAAAAAACCCGTGAAAGAGATTTGATAGTTTCGTTAACTCAGAATCTGGAATTTTGCTTTAGACTTCTATATTTGACAAAGTCTTTAATCTTTTTAATTAAATCTTATATCCATCGGAGAAAAGCAAAATCGACCTGAGAAATCTGGTTAGAATGAATGGAAATTTTTCTTCAAAAGTTATTTTTCATTAGAACTTTATTTCTATCTCTGCGACGTTTTAATTTTTCAAGCAAAGATTGTTTTAGAAAGTTAATCCATTCATAGAGCAGCTAAGTAAGAAAATTAGAACAAAAAAAATGTATGCTATACTTCTATTGAATTGAAAAAAAAACCTAGAGAAAAAATGTAAATAGAACATTAAAAAAAATACTAAAAATACTTCATAAATGAACAATTATTTTTATAAATTAATCAATCTTTGCCTTTTATTCTACACGCTCAGAAAAACCGGCTTAGCGTTGAACCACAATACGCTACAAGTTTCCTGCAACCTGAATAAGGTATTAAATTGAACCACATTTCCGCTCTTGTTGAAACATAATGTCATGTCATCAAGTTTAAAATCTATAATAATATAATAATACTCGGCACCAAATTAGAATTGACACAAGTTTGAACAATATATTTCAGCAAATTCTAACAATTCAAATTTATAATTATAACATATTACAAGTGCCTCTTTAAATGTGTTATTATGTAAAAAGTTTCAGAGTGAAAAGAGGCTCTTCAATGTAAGAAGTTTAAGAAGCCCTGAATTAAAGGTATTTACTCTAGGGCCTTGATTATCTAAAGAACTTGACCTTCTTCAGATAATCAAAATATTCGGATTTTAGACATAACATCTTTTTGTTGATCTTTTTTCATCAATTAACTTTCATATTCTAGTTTGTTTTTAATTATAGTACTATATATAGTAATGTAGAGCTATATAATTTACAATTTAAATGCTATTTTGTACAGACAGGTATGAATATGTTTTATATTAAAATTCATTTTCAAGAATATTAATCTTCAAATGACAATTTGTACACATTACAAGTGCCTCCTTAAACGTGTTACTATGTAAACAGTTTCAGAATGAAAAGAGGCTCTTCAATGTAAGAAGTTTAAGAAGTCTTGAGTTAAAGGTATTTAAAGTAGGACCTCAATTATCTAAAATAATTGGAATTGGAGCTGTTTTTGATATTCAAAATATTTGGATTATAGAGATCGTTTTTTAATATTTTTTCGTCAATAATCTTTGACAATTAAGTTTATTTTTAATTATGGTAATGTGCAGTAATTTATTAATTTCGAAATTTAAATGCCGTATGAGTAAAGAGGTATAAAAAGTTTTTATTTAAAATTTACTTCAAAAGGAAATTATCTTCAAATGATATAAGAAATATAGAAAATAAAAAATCAATATAGAAATAATTAATATTGGAAAAATATTCTCTTGCGGCTAACCTATGATAGCATATAATTGAAAAATAAAAATATAGATAAAAGAAATAAGCCCTATAAAAATAGAATTGGTATCATTTAGCTGAATTATTTGCATGAATGAGGTTTAGTCTAGCTAAGTTATATAGTAATTTGTGTAAAAAAATTTTTTGTATGAAATTTAAAAAATGGATAAGTTCTTTTGAGCAATTTAAAATAAAGGCAACGCAGATATAAAGACAATGCAGATATAAGCCTTTAACAGTGCTGTGTTAAAGGCTTATATTTGCATTGAAAAAGATTAATATGATAATTAGTATAAGCCTTTTTGAAAAGGGTTTAATAAAATAAAACAAAGGTTATCTGATATACTGCTGTTAGTTATACATCATACAGCTGTTTCGATGCTATAAACCAAAGAAAGAGAAATTATTCTCAGTTTCACTTTATAGTGACAAACAGCATTATAAGTTTAAGTATTGTTTTTATTTTCATTGCTTTATATTTCATTAAATCCATGCCTAAAATGTAAAAAAGCTATTTAAGATTTCCATATATTTGCTTTATTCTTATCTAGTTGATTGAAAATGATTGATATTTATTTTATTGTTCTTTACAGATTAAAAGATGAAGTTTAGTATTTTACCTGTTTTGGTAATAATGGGGATGGTTACAAAATCAACGACTGTATCAAGCAATTCGGTTATGAGATTTGACTGTGAGGCACTTCTAGGTAAATATTTGCTCTATATTTCTTTAGAAAAAAATTTCCCTGTAAAATAATACAAAGACTATAGGTATGTGCTTCATGTATTGTTTGCCATATATGTAATTTGATCATAACCTAATTGAATGCAAAAATGTGTTGTGAAATGAATTAGATTCGACTTTCAACATTTAAAAAGTAAATTGTTATGGCATTATAGATAATACATGTCTAATATGCATTTAGTTCTCTAATCCCTTTCTCAATGAATTTAACAATTACCTAATTATTCAGTGCAGTAGCATGTAAATGGATGTCAAATTTTGCTTTTAAATCTTTCTTCTCTTTAGCTGTTAACATATTAGCATTAAAGCTTCATTGTTTTGCCTTTAGACAAAGATCATTTTCAATAAATCGCCAAATAATATAGCTCTACGGAGTAACTAATGTTACCCGCTACTTTTTTGAAAAACTTTTTTACAAGCATCTGTTAATCTGTATAATTATTTATGATAAGTACTTATGAGTAAATTATTTTTTGCAGTGTTTATTTATTTTAATAAAATAAAAATAATAATACTTCAAATTTCATTTCCAGCTTTTTCGATTATTTTTGGAATTTATTGATGTCAAATTGTAAACATTTTACTACAGTAAATATTTCTTCCTGAAAACAATAAGATTTCCTAAATAGTGATGCTTTTCTTGTACGGCATACAATGTCCGGAAATTTGAAACTAAGTGTATTTTCAGAAAGGTCGAAAAAGTAGAGAAAACTACCCTAAAATGAGACGCTCTTTTTAAAATTTGGATTAGAACACAACAATTATTGTACAAATTATTATTACTTTATCTAATGTTCGTGTGACAGATGTAAATCATTAGAGATAGGTCAAATTTATAAAACTCAAAAACACCGCAATCTGAAATCAATCAATCAATAAATAAATAAATGTGTTAAAGAAATTTAAAATATTCAAAAAAGGTGTCCTAATATTTGATAGCGTCAAGATATTAACGAAGTATATTAAATACGTAAGTTCTAATTATAATTTTAAATATTAAATAAGAAGGTAAAACATACGTTCCCGTTTTTTAATATAGGAATTTTTATATGAATTTCAGTTAAAAAAATCATTTTTATTAGGTAATAAATAAATAAATAAATTAGATAGATAGATGCATAGATAGACAGATAGATAAAAAAATAAATAAATGGATCGATAGATAAATAAATAAAATAAATAAAAATGCTAAGGAAATCTTACAAATTCCTAATATTTGATATCACCAAGATATCACCAATGTATATAAAACACGTAAGTTCTAATTATTATAACCTTAAATATTAAATAAGAAGGTAAATTTTTTTTAATGTGGGGCTTTTCATATGAATTTCAGTTACAAAATTCATTTTTAGTAGTTCTATTCCCATCACTATAATGATTCTTTAGGGAGAATTCGTAGGATTATTAATTTATTTATTATTCTTAAGGAGAATTCTTGTACTGATAATGAACATTCTGGAATGATTTCAACCCTCTTAATTTTGCTATCGATTTTTGAAAGTTTTAAACACTGTACTTGTCCTGCAAAGGCTCGTATCAAAGCATTTTTACACATAATTACTCGAAGATAATATCAGGCAAAAATATCTCATTATTATTTATTATTTTTTATAACTTAATAATGAACAGAAATAACATTGGAGTGTAAAGTAGAAGAGTTAAAAATTATTTATTTTTGTACGAACTCTATAATAAGATGGGCGAATATTTACAAAACGGTAATAATAGTTGAAAAATAAGAATTCTTTATTAAATATAAGACGTATTTTTAAATTTGTATTCGAACGATTTTTTTTTAAGTTGTGGATTTCGTCTCATAAAAGTATATACTGAAACACAACACGAGAAGCTTTAGATTTCATAATTTAAGAATTTTTGATAGTTGCTAAAATAATTATTACTTTCACTAATTTTGAGTTTCATAAATGTAAGTAAAGAGATTTTGTCATTAATTGAAAACCATAAAGAATCCATGACCATTTATAGTTCATGAACGATCAAAATTTTGATCCCGTGGTACAGAGTTGGACTATAAAAATATACACGTAATCCGATTTCACAATTTAAATCAAATGAAGTTGGTTGCTACATCTCTGCTCATGTTAAACTGGCTAAATTTAAAGTAACTTCTCTGATACTAAATTACTTGATTATTGATTTTTTTATTTACTTCTAAAATCAGTTGTATGAATAATTAAGGAAAAACAACAACTCAAATTTCAATTATCAAATTTTCCAGTTTTTAAAAAACTCGGGTAGTACGTGAAATATGAATCATTTGCTCAAAAGTTATTAACATATTGTATTTCTTATTTTGCACATTGTTCGAAAGAAAAAGAATATCGTGAATTATTTCATTTTTAATGATCAGATTTTCGCTTACTGAGTGACAATTTTAATGGTTCCTGGGGGGATCTCAAATATGTTAATTAATTAGTGTCAACTACTATTTANGGGGGGGGGGGGGGTAGCCGGCCGCTATCTGGAAATTGCAGCCCTCATAGTTTAGTTAGGAGTGAGGATCAAAATTTGGTTCCTTTAATGTAAATCTCATTTTTTGCGTTTCTGGTCATATCTTTAAAACTAATTGAGCAAATTTTTAAAAAATTTTTTTTCACCCACTGATGAAAATTGTTTACCCAAACACAATTTTTTCACATAAATTTTTTTTTAAATAATTACTTATTAGTTTTTATTATTTATTTTAATAGTAGGTGGAAATATTTTGAATTATGAGGCAAATTTTTTTTCACCATTTAATCTACGAATTTATTTTTTGAAAAGTTTCTACAGTTTCAAAGTTTTTATTTAGTAGAAAATCTTTTACTTAATAAAAATTTTGAAACTTTAGATAGATAAATTTTTTTAGGGAAAAATTAAATTTAATTATTTTTACAACAATAATTTGGTGACAATGAAATGGACCGAAATTAAGTGGAGTGATTAATAGGAAAATGTGTTAAACTTACAAGGAACTTTATTTAGCAAACGTAGCGTGACTTTTTCGTTGATAATTAATTACTAATCTTTTTTTTTAAATTCTAAAATACAATGTTTATTTTAAGTCATGTGATAATTTATACTTAATTTATTAAAGAGATTTGAAAAAAAAAATATTTAACGAATATTAAGATGTATCTTTATATTTTCTTAAATCAAACTTTTGTGAATTCACGGATGATTATCTGAAACCGGTGGTTTGGTATTAAGTTACTAGAAAGAGTACAGAGCTACCAATTACGTAGCTAAAATTTTAAATGTCTTTAAATATAGCAGTATCAATTTAATAGTCTTAATTTTAAAATACAATTTTTAATTGCATGGTCAAGCGTGCCTCGCAGAACTATTCAGCCAATTTTTTCACTATATTTTTAAAATTTTTAAAATTCTCATTCTTTATGCTGCCTTCTATTTTGTTGAATTTTTATTAGTACTTTCATTTAAGTTTTTTTTAAAAATTAAACATATTTTATAAATGATTACCAAGTTATTTTTTCTAAAAGAAGTCCTAAAACTAAAACCAGTTAGCGGAGAATTAAACTTCGTTAAATAACAAAGAACATTTCGCTATTTTAAAGTTAGTCGGTGCAAAACGTCTGTATGATCGCATTAATTAAGCGAACCCCTTTTCTCTCCATCTTATGTTATAATTTGTTTCCTGACAAAATCTTGAATAACGTAAATTGTGTAACTTTTAACCCTTTGATGCCGAATTTTTATTAACTATATTTTCCATTGTTTTGAATTAAGTGATAAATATTATAATTAGTATGTTAATGGTTATAAAATATAGCATGAATTGCAGGTGTCTCGTTCTGTGTTAAAGGTAAAATTTTCCAAACAATAACTTTTCAAATTTCCACTTACTTGCAGTTATTTAGATATAAGAGAAGCACTTATTCATTATTCGCTAATTTACAAAGTAAATTATTGATAAATTTTTTAATGTGAGTGAAAAAATTGGAACTCTTTTATTTGGATTTATATTTTAGTATAAATATAATTCCGATCATCTAATAAATTTTTTTATTAATTATAGTGTTTGTTATAATTAAAAAATACAAAAATATGTTCTTGCTTGTAACTAGAGCAAAGAGTCAAGGTAACACTTGTGTAATATTTAAATAGAATATTTATTATAAAAAAGTAATTAAGATTTGTGTTACATTTGTGTAACATTTCAGTTCATTTACATACACATTGCGTTACATTTGTGTTACATTGTGTTACATTGTGTTACATTGTGTTACATTTGTGTTACATTGTGTTACATTTGTGTTACATTTCAGTTCATTTAAAGGATTTGTATAAAATGATGATGTTAGCCGGAGATGTACCGAAATTGAAAACAATTGAGAGAAAGTCTGAAAGAGCTCCATCATTGAGACTTCGCTTTGGTAAACGAATTGAGGATTTGCTTGTAAAACCAGTTTACGCAGAGCACAGAAATGTATTCGAACATGCCATGAGAAAATGAATTCATGCTAATGGCAACGGAACATCGATTATATTACATACCATTGAGAATTTTTACTAATTTTCTTATATCTACTCACAAAATTAATTCCTCAAATTGATTTTGTTCTCTTGAAACACTGATCTGCAGAGTTTGTGAATAAAATGTTTTATTGTTAATAATAAAAATTTTTCAAATCAAAAAGCTTTAATTGTTGGTTTGCTTGACCATTATAAGGAAGTAGATTGTTAATTCAATATAAATAACAAATTGTTCTTTATAGTGCACAAATTGTCAACATTTAAATATTCCCCTGTAAATTGTTTTTCTAATGGTATTAGAAACGATGGTTTTTTTTAGTAATCCCTTACTGCACCCGTTCACTGTAAAAATTCCGAATCAAATAATGGTAATAAGTACCCGCACTCAAAGGTGCTTGTACTCTTTATCGCAAAATAATTTTTACTGAAACAGGTTACTGAATTAGACATCTGATATACCTTTTACAGTAATAGTTACCGTAAAATCACTAACTACTCAAATTAAATAAATATTACTGTAAAACTTACAGCATAATATTTTATGGTAAAATGGATATTACGTTTGCTGGTACTTTATATTGTAATTTGCTCCGCAATTTTTTACAGTGTGGGGTGACCGTTATCATAAAAAAGTTCAATTTTGTTGAGTATTTTTTAACCACATACAAGAAAAAAAATAATTTAGAGTGATATTTCACCTATGTTACCGTGAGTTTTTTAAAATTACTTCTTAAAGATTTAATTTGTTGTTACTTACCGAAATTATATTTATTGTTTCTCGTAAGGCAATAGGCAACGCTTGATTGCTTTTATTTTGTGTCGTATAGAGTAACTAAATGAGGAGTTAATAGATTAGATTAATTATACAAAAAATACTTCATTAGTCGACATAGCCTTTAGCAATATTTTATGGACTATTAAACGTAGCGGATATAAACTCGAACAAGCGGGTAATCATTTTCAGGAAAGATTACCTGCAGTGTAAGGAGTTCCGTATTGAATTTCGATGAAAAGTACTGGCAGTCGGTGTGCCGTAACTTTTTATCGTAAAATCCATTTTTGCCGGAACATGTTACGGGGTAAAAAATCTGATATACCGTAATTTTTACAGTAATAATTATCGAAAAATTTATGAATCATTCTCATTAAATAAATATTACTGTAAAAATTACTGTATAATATTCGACGATAAAAAATGAACTTCGCGGCAAAATGGATTTGATGGATGATGCACCCAAACGGATGGCATTTTACACCGTAATTTGATTCCGAATTTTCTATAGTGTGTTAGAGTAAGGTTTTTCCCTTACAGAACCTCTCTCAAAACCATTCAAAAATACCGAATTTATTAATCAGAGAAAACCGAATTTATTAATTGCATATGAAAAGAATATTAGAAATATTTGCTTTTGACAAAGAAAAAAGAGATTTAGAATACAGCACCAATACCACAGTCTCATTTAAGCAAGAAGATATTGTAAATGCATAAAGAAAGGAGACAGAAAATGTACCTTAGTATACAGTTCCTGGCCAAATTATTACACGCACTATAAGATTCTATGTAAAATCATAATAATCAGGTGATACTATACAGCTATATTTTTTTACACGACTGAAACTTGTTTTACGTAAACAAGTGCAAACATACGTAAAAAAGTTACGTAAGTAACTGTAAAAGCAATAAAACTGTATAATATCACCTGATAATTAAGATTTTAATAAAATCGCATAGTGCGTCCAATAATTTGGTCAGGGACTGTACAGAGTAAGGCAAACGGAAAAAAAAAAACCCTCGAGCAAAGTTATTAAAGCATAGAACAGAAATTAACTAGTTTCTTCTTAATTTGTATGTTCATTTCTTTTTGTCTAATACTTTAATTATAAGATATTTTATGCCATATATCTGAAATAACGTCTTTTTTGGCCTTTTCAATGCTAAGCAAAAGATCTGCTGTTTCAGAGTTGTTTAAGCAAGGATAACGATTGTGTGAAATCGTTCACTGTTGTACGCAAAAGTTTGGACTCTTCAAAGCAATCGCTTCAACTGAAATGGGATACTTTATTAAAGGTAGAAGATTTGTGGCCCATTGCTGAAAATTTCAATATGCGTTTACTCCTCTGCATCGCTATAAATGGAGATCTTTTTCGAAATCTTAATATTATTTGTTACAATTTTGTTAATTTATTTACTTTTTATAAATTTCTATAAAAATTTATTTGCAGGTTTTTTTTTCTCGTAACCTGTATGTCGTATTTACCAATTTAATTTGTAAGTGGCAACGTAATATTATTTGTAGTAACTATTAAAAATAAATGTTTCATGAAATATTTAATTTGTGCAGCATATCTCATTTAGCTCATACGTCTAAAATAAAACTAATTTACAGGAGAAAAATTGCAGCGGCTACGATCCGTTAACTGGGTTTTTTAAACGATTCTTTTTAAGGGTTAATGACAACATAGTAATATTTGCATAGTAATATTTGCGTTTTTTTAATCTAATTTAAATCAACATATAGACTTATTTAGAATTTTAAAAATGGTATTTTAGCGTTATCATCTATAATACATACAATGTGGCAACTAAACACATAACGATTTTTCGTATTGCAACTTATTATTCCCTTGCGAAATTCCTCTTAAAAGCTTGTTTCTCATCTTATTTCCCATAGCTTTTACTTTAGTTTTCATTTTTTTCATCCCAAATATTTACTAATAGCATCTATTTTTATATTTATTTCATTTTATTATAGTCCCCCGGTACACTTAGAAAATATTGATTACGTGACTTCATGAAATTCTAAGCTTTATTTGTAAGACCAGACTTGATATTGGAATATTATGTGCAAATACGCTGCAAACATTTTGAAACGTTTAGTTTATCTTACGGGACACGAAATTTTCTCATTTAAATTACTGGAGAAGATAAACAATATGGTCAAAGTTTATTCTCTTGGAATATATTTTCCTGAATTGGCGTATTTCATAACTCAGAAAAAATTATTATGCAATAAACATTTTGTTGCCATTTTATTTTTCTTTAATTGCACACAATTATTATAGGTTGTTCTCTTATTGAGAGCAAGTAAATATTTTGTATTTTGAACTAAGAAAATAATCGTTATTAAGTTATTATTTTGGTTGATTTAATCAAGTGCATTTTGATAAGTTTGTCTTTACAAATGAAAATATAAATAATAAACGCAATAAATGTTTGTTTTTGTAAATAAAACCATTAAAAGCAGTGTTTTACTAGTAATAATTTGGAACTAGGTAGCATTGTCAAAATAATGAATTAAAATTTTTAAAATTGAAAACTAGTTTTGATTGCTGCTTAAAAACATGTCTTTATAATATAAAAGTTCAAAAATACTTTAATAAACTATCTATTTTTTATTGTTTTTAATAAATCGGATTTTTTTTACGTGAAAGCTTCCAAAAAGGATATTTTGTTATTTGAATGATATTGGTTCTTCAATCCCAAAATGTCCATATGATTTTTACTCTTTTTTTCATTAAACTTAAATTATAACACCGTTTAAAATCATTACCTTGATTAAGTAATACCATTTAATTTTAGCGTAGTATAGTTGATTCGGACATTTGCTCAACATTCTACCTAAATTAAACTCTACTGATGACATTGAAAATATATAACATTAAATATGGAATTATCGAACAAATTACTGAATTTATAGTTATAGCCTTAAGCTCCTTCATTTTAATAAAATACTTTTTAGCTGGTCAATCCTTCAGTTTAGGAAATACATTGATTTTGTTACAGTGTTCTACATTGCTAAAAATTTAAACTGCATGCATGGAAATAATGTCATTTTATTCGCTCATAGATTATTTTTAAAATGGTTTTTATAATTTTTGCCTGATTGAAAAAACGCATTTTTTTAAAAAACACCATTTAAAAATTTGGAATATAGTTTCTTAAAACTTTGATCATAAATTCCATTTTAGAGCAAATGTTGTGTGAAATGTTTTCAAAATTATAACAAAATAATTTTCGTTAACTATAAAGAGTTTAATTTTGCTAATCTTTTTATATAAAAAATTATGAAATTTTTAAATAAAAAACTAGTTTTTCTAATTTTTTTTTAAATGTGACGTCATAAGGGTAAAGATTTTGACAAAAACATGCTATTTAAACAATTAAAGTTTTTTTTAAAAATTTCTTTCAAAATTAATTGTTAATTTTAAGTTTCATCTTAACTAGATTTAAGCATATGGTTTGAAAATCTGTTTGATACAATATAAGTATATCAGTCTCTTTTGAGCAATTCCGATTAAAAAGAAAACAAATAAACTCTATCTTCCTTTTATAAAATATTTTTTTTAAAATAAAATGTAGATTAGCAAAAAAAAAATGAAGTGGAAGTTACATGTAATAGCATCTTTTTATGTCCTAATATTAAACATTATTTTAAAATTTACGGTTGAGAGATTAATAGCTACATCACCTTTTCTCTAACATAAACCTTTTTACGTTACTTCATACATTTTTATCAAAAACTACAACACAGCAACTCCATTTTTAATATCCTCAACAATCAGAGTATAACTCAAATAACAGATATATTGTCAAATTGATTTTTTAAATTTTTCAAAAATTCTGAATTCCTTTTTATTTAATAAAAAAATTTATCAAGTAATATACATATGTTCCAGAAATGTAAAAATTTGTTTTCTAAATGCAAGTTTTTCTTCGGTGAAGTAGTTTATTCACACATTTAGATATAAAGATTTTCTTTAATTTCTTTTAGATTTTTCTAAGATGTAGGTAGTTTTGTTGGGCCTTGCTTATAGATGTTTAATTTTTTTGATTGAAAAGTTTATAATGATACTAAACAAATTAAACTTACTTAAAAAACCAAAACTTGGAAACTGAAATTGAGTAAGAAAAAATTGTTGTTGTTGTAGTAGGCCATTAAGGCAAGGGGGTGCGATTGTTCTTGCTTTCCAGTGGCGCCACCTATGACTAAGAATTCAACTTCAGCCACACCCATACGTCGCACCCGTTTATAGGGCAGACCCATTCATACATCCATTCATTTATTCACAGATCATAATTTTTACCTGAACCAAGAGAATTGAACCTGA